GAAGGGGGGGGCTGAGAGTTTTGGGGAAGTATCTGGGGGAAAAGTGGGGGGGGGGGGGGGCCATCAAGCAGTTTTGAAAGTGAATTTATTTGTACATGTAATAATCTGGATTGTCAGCATTAATAGCCCCAGTTTTGTTTTTAAGTCCTTCTAATACTAATTTGTTTACTCGTTATCACATTTCTCTTTTTTTGTATTTGTAAGCATATTTCTAAAGCTTCAATTGTCCCTGCACGCAACTGTTTTATAACTCTAACTGCCCGGCTCGCTAGCGTAGTTGGCTAAACCGGATTGCTCGGTGACCGGGTGACGAGCTCCTTGTGGTCCGGGTTCACGCCCGGGGTTGGCAGAAAGCCACATTTTTCCCAGATTTACGGTATTTATCACGGAATCAAGGCCGAAGGGTTGCGATATCCATAATACCGAGTCTAAGGGTTAACAACTCATGGCTTCTGGATACTAAACAAAAAAAAAAACTAATTATCACACACACAAAAGCTCTGACCGTTTGATGTGAAGATTGAACTCCGTTGTGCCTTAAGCAAAATCAGACCAACAATAGTAGATATTTTCGTGACAAAACGGTGTCAACCATCACATTGATATTTGGACATCAAATTGCCAGACGGTGGTGATCGTTTTGTCTGTGTGTGTGTGTGTGTGTGCGTGTATGTGTTACTTGACACTCTGAATTAGGTGCCTGTTTTTATCGCGGATTTGCAGCTTCACTGCAGGAATATTTATCCCATATGGCTCGATCTCTTTCCACATAATGGCTAGCCACCTGCTCAGAGCAGCATTCAAAACACTAACTCCGTAACTCTGGTGATAATCCCCAGTATCTCCATCAAAGACTGCCCTCAAAACCTAAATGAAGAAGTCAGTGAAATTAACCTGAGACCTGTAGAGCACGCCGTAAACTGCTCAACAACTTAACCACTTAGACTTCCCTCAAGAGTGCAGAAAAGATTACAGCACAGAAAGGATTGAGTGCAGTACAGGAAAGATAACTTTGTAAAAGTAGGATGACAGAATAATTCTTAGAATATCATGGACCAAGAACAGGAAAAACACCAGCATCTTTTATGATCTGAGCATCAAGAAGAATTGGCTTGTAAACAACACCCTGTATAATCTGAGCATCAAGGAGAATTGGCTTGTAAACAACATCCTGTATGATCTGAGCATCAAGGAGAATTGGCTTGTAAACAACATCCTGTATGATCTGAGCATCAAGGAGAATTGGCTTGTAAACAACATCCTGTATGATCTGACCATCAAGGAGAACTGGTTTGTAAACAACATCCTGTATGATTTGAGCATCAAAAAGAATTGGCTTGTAAACAACATCCTGTCTCGAAAGCTGAGATATTCTAGCCATGTTACACATCATGGTGACCTGGAGAGAGCGGTGATGGAGGATAGTTTCCAGAAAAAAAAAGGCAAAGGCAAATTTCTGTGAAGATGGCTACATAACAATGAAGATGCATTGGCAACTATGTTTGTAAATTGTTGATGTGTTTGTTATTCAACCTATGCTTGGTTAATATACAATTCTGCAACCAGTGGTGCCATTTCAATAGTTTGAGATGAATTCTGACCTTATTCAATAGTTGTGGATTTCAAGCTGTCTGATAGACATGTCCAATGAAGACACCTTTTTTAGGGGTGCCTAGTTAATCATGTTCTTAGAACACTTGTTTCCACAGCGAGGCACACATGCCATTAGGAGGTGAAAGGTTCGATTCCCGGCACGGTAACTATAGCTTTCAGTTTTTATGTTGTGTGTGTCCTAGCTTTCTAGTTCTTTCTATGAGTGCCGATCAATAAATTGTTTGTTTATTATATATATAATATTAGCTATGAAAGCACACTGGGCTGTAGAATTGGCTAGAGAGACTTTCTGGTAATGTTCTGTAAAGGATCTTCTGACTGATGATGATCACCATTTTGCCATTGCAAGAGCAAACCTCGCTGTCGATTTCTTCTCATAGTTCAGGCCACGTGCCTCTGGTTATCCTGTCTGTCCACAGCCCTCTATCTTGTGTACTGTCAATCATTTCCAACATACACGTTCTTCCACGTCATATAATATCAAACTTTCCAACAGCTTCTCTCTTGGTCTCCCACTGCGTTTCTTCCCCTCCAATTGTTCTACTGTCCAGTCATACTCCAGTCTTCCTAATTTTGTAGTGTTCCCAAAGAATGGGGATTGATTACTTCTGGTGTGATCATTTCATTTGTGATTAATTGCTAGCAAGATTTTCATTCAAGTTTTTGAATCTGTCCATGCAGTCTGTGTAATATCTGCATTATAAATGTAACAGCAAACAATATGGCTAGAAAGTCTTTGAAGTGAAACCCACAAGTCAAAGGAATAAAGGCAGACCAAAGTTTAGAGAACAGAATAAGAAAATGAGCTGGGGAAAAGGATGGGAAGAACATGGGATGAGCCTCAGATGATGACAAGACTCGGTTAGCTCCTCATCTTTGTTTTGCAATAAGGTGGCGGAAAACAGACAAGGAAAAAGTTAACATGGTACTGAGAAAATTTTTATAGAAAAATGACAGCCATAAAAGATAAGATCCAAATGAATGAAGATGACAATAGATAATTCTATACCTAAGGTAGCAATGAAAGTGAAAAAGTAATAATATGCACAGCATTAATATAAGTAAAACCAACTTGTATGTGATTTTTAATACTGGAAATCATTCACATCAGCCAGAAAACTCAAACTGCACAAGATAAATCAGCAAGCATTTAGGAATTTACTGCAACAAAACTGTTTGTTGTAATAAAAATATGGCCACATAAACTAGTTTTTAAACAGTACCTTAGTAGGTCAACATCTGTGGCTTAGGTGTTAAGCCGAGTTGAGACAAGATCCAACGTCACAGCACGCAGGATATTCCCATAAATGTTCTGTTCCCATCTTCAGCAGCCAGCACAGAACTCCAATGGTAGGAGTAAAAAAGTATGACTTCTAGGTTAGAAATTAGTTGCATAACTCCTACATCCCAGATCCGATTTAGCTGCAGTTAATATGGCAGCAAGCCACTCTGTCTTGATGTCAATCATAGTATGTTCCTCAACCGTCCACTAAACTTCAGTGGAAAAGTCTGGTTGTTTGTCCACTTCTGGATGTTGCAGAACCAACCCCAGCATTTTTCGGCTGTTGTGGTTTTCTAGGCAAATTTTTATATTCAGTAGTTTGCCACTGCTTCTCAATGGTCAGCTCTGTTGAAACCAACGCAAGACAAATCGTCCGCAGATGGGATTGAACCCAGCACCCCGGCATTACGAAGCACGTTTACAGCACCTACGCCACAGGTGCTGACAGTTTCAGAGAATATTTAGCTAAAAATAAAACTGAATGGTTCACAAAATACAGTGACTAACTAACCAACTTAGCTAAATAGGCAAAAAACAAAATCATAGTGCTAAAGCTAATATCGATGAGATAAATATTAGAATTCAAACATTTTTCTTCCATCTTTAATCAAAGTTTTAAAAAAAAATTATTTTAAATTGAGGAGAAAAAAAAATTAAACACTGCAACACTATTATGTTCTGAAAGCTTAAAAGCTGAAGTCTGGTCAAATATTTGGTAAACAGAGACAGGTGAAGACAGAGAAAGGTGTACCTGGAAAGCTAAAACAGCTGGGGAACCAATAAAACTTTCAGCCATACAAACTTCCTTTCTCCTAAAGGTGTCTCCATCCTGCTGTGGTGGAGGAGCCTGTGCTTATCTGTGATTCTAAGAGCTATGGCAGCAGTAGCATAGCTACCAGCCTCTAAGCTGGACAGGCAAAGGACAGAGAGAAGACAAAGAGAGATGATACCCTGGTCCAACAGGTTGAGGGTTGAGATGTAAGGCCAACACTCTCACCTTTGTAAGAAATAGATATCTATGCCTGAAATCCAGATAGATTTAAAGGGACAACGTGGAACATTAAAAGACCATGAGGCAGAACAAGAAGACAGTGGAGAGATACTATACACAAACACCTACAAATACTGGGATTCACCAACTGGAATGAGAAGGTCAATCACAGAGACAAATGGAGGTGGGTGATATCTGCAGCAGTGAACCTCATGGGCTCGCCCTGCTGTAGAAGAAAAAGACGGATTTAAACTTCATACAAATTTCAAAAGATAGAGAAGATAGAAGAATCCTGAATTGCTTCAGACCAAGCAGCTGAAAGAGAAGAAATTATGGTCAGACTAGTTAAAAAGTGAATATAATATTGAGAAAAAAAATGTTCAGAGGTGTTTCTTCAACTAATATCTAGGAGTATTTTGAACACAAAATGATACTATTGTAGAACTCAAGTAATAACACCTATTTTCAAAGATGTTAATACATTAAGCATTTACTTTTACACAAAAAGGATTTAGAAATAATACAAACATTTGTCAAAAATGACCTATGGCTCTCAGGTCAACCCAGCCTTAAATGGATATCAGATACAGTCCTGGGAAGCAAAGGCCTCTGGCGTTATGTTGACCACATCCCTAATGGAGTGCATATTGGTCTATAAAATATAGGTCTAACCCTATATGTCTAATACGCCTGAATGTGAGGAAAAAGGTCCTTTACTTTCACTTTTACAAATGCTTGTGAAAATGATTTGTTGATATTTCAGACAACTTTCCTCTTTGTTTTTGTACATTTTATATGAAAAGCATTGCCTTTTTTTTTTAAAGCAAATACAGTTAACAGCAAAACACAAGACAGAATCATAATATACTATAACCAGTTATAATTATAAACAAAGGGAAAACTGCAATCAGCATAGCTTTTTAAAAGCAATTTCTTTTCGGTTAAAAATGTGTCTGTACAAATGTTTAAAATATCTATTTCTCCAAAACTGAAAAGAATAAACTGCTGGTCTCAGATCTTCTTTGTACTTTACAGAAAAAATAAACAGAAATGATAAAAAGAAAGGTGGTCAGCAACAGAAGGCACACATGAGGTATCAATGTTGTGAGGTGGTTATTTCACAGAGTACTCTTTCTTGAGTCGAACAATATCAGCAGATGTCCAGGCACTGGAAGCAGTTCTCGACAGGATGTCCAAAACTGCTGATACCTCTGTGAGAGAAAAGCAGAAACATATTTGGCACTTGATGGGTAATGTGGTTAATATAATGCTGGCTATCTTTGCTTCCAAGAAATTATTTTCTATTTAGGGATATTATGAATTGTGGTTTTATTGGTTATAATACAATTAATCTATGCTATGCTGATGACATAGTCTCGTTACAATAAATCAGAAATAACTATTCTTGTGTGGATTTTGTGTTTTGTGGCCCCATTGGATATGTGCGTGCAAAAGGGGGTAGGGGGGCTATACAGTCGACTAATTAGCAGTTTTCCTTCAAAGTAGAGGGCATCTGCCTGACAGGCAAAGAACCAACAGTCTGTATACAAATAATTCAGATCTGTAAAAGGGGTCTGCATGCAAAACTTAAGTTCTGGAATAACACTTAAGTCCAGAAGTGGCCAAACAACATGAAGAAGAAGAGAACTATAGAAGCTGGTAGATACAGTGGATTTATATTCTGAAAGAACGGACCTCAACTTGAATAATGGGAAGACTGAAGTAATGTTAATATCAAATCAAATAAATGTGCCTAAGTACAATTAAAGTCAACAGCGTTTTCTTGGGACAAGTACACAGAAGTTTAGGTATCTAAGCATGTGGATTACATGAGGTATAAGATATATAATGGAGGTAAAAAACAGAGTAAAACAGCAAACAGTGTGGGAGATTAGAAAAAGAATTCTGTTATAAAGAGCCAGTTTGAAAATATGATTATATAGCAATCAGTCCAACTATCCAGACATCTGTCCCATTAATCATGCAACATCCTGCCTGTCTGTTTACCCATCTGTGTGTATGGTGTGTTTGTGTTGTGTGTGCTGTGTGAGTTGTGTGTGCTGTGTAGGTTGTGTTTTTGTGTATTATTGTTACTGTGTGTCTTGTGTTAATGTATGTTGTATCTGTGGTAGTGTTGTGTTTGTGTGTAAGTGTTGTGTTAGTGGCTGTGAGAATGTTTTATTTTTATGTCTGTATGTAAGTATTTTGTCTGTGTAAGTTGTGTTTGTGTGTGTTGTGTCTGTGAGTGTGTGTGTGTGTGTGACTGTGTATGTGGTGTGTGACCTTTTTTATGACTGTGTGCATACTATATGTGTGTCTGTGTATGGTTTTTGTTTACTGTGTTTCTCTGTGTGTCTATGTGTGCAGATGTTTGGCCTGTCTGGTGTTGTTGTGTTCATGTATCATGTCTGTGTTTTGGGTCTGTGTGTGTGTATCATGACTGTGTGTTGTGCCTGTGTGAATATTGTATCTATATATATGTATTGTGTCTGTGTATATGTGCTGTGTATGTGTATATTCGTTGTGTCTATGTGCATGTGTTGTGTCTTTGTTTTGTATCTGTGAGCATTGTAACTGAATGTGTTTTGTCTGTATGTATGTGTGGGTTTGCAGTGTGTCATCTGTGTGTGCTTTGTATGTTGTGTTGTGTGTGTGTACATTGTATCTGTGTCTGTGTTATGTTGATGTGTGTGTTGTATCTGTATTAGTGTTGTGTCTGGGAGTGTACATGTGATTGTGTGTATATGTTTCTGTCTATGTGTATGTACTGTCTTTGTGTCTGTGTGTATATATTGTGTTAGTGTATGTATTGTGTTTGCATGTGTGTGATGTGTCGGTCTATGTGTGTGCTGTGTATGTTGTGTTTATGTCATGTCCGTGTGTATTGTTGTGTCTGTGAGTGTACTGTGATACTATGTGTCATGTCAGTGTGTGTTGTGTCTGTGGGTGACAGCGTGTGTTGCGTTTGTGTGTATGGTTGTGTTTGTGTGTATGTTTTGTGTCTGTGGTGTGTCTGTGACATGAGTTGTGTTTATGTACGTTTTTGAGTATATGTTTATGTGTTGTGTATTTGTCATGTCTACGTGAATTGTGTTGGCATGTGGCGTTTTATGCTATGTCTGTGTGTGTGTGTGTGTGTGTGTGTGTGTGTTGTCTGTGTATGTTGTGTGTGTGTATCGTATCTATCTGGTAGTCTGGTAGTTTTAGTTTTAGCTTCATAGCAACGGGTCGCCCCATCTTTGCTCCGCTCCTGTGCCAATGAAAAACACCCAGAATGTTTATCACAGTCCCTTGTGGAAAGATTGACAGACTGCTGTCTCAGCATATCTAGCATACACTCGCATTAAAACATACGGTAGCCATCCGAAGTGCTAACACAAACAGTCCAACATTAGAAATGCAGTTCATCATTGATGATAGCAGAACTTGTCGCCAACAGTTCAGCAGTTGTCCACGCGATCAATTTTTAACCAGATACGGGCACCGCCAACATTGCACGACAGGCATCACGCCATTTTCTGAATCTACAATTCACACCACCACGTTGGTCATAGTCGAAAATACATTCCAAATGCATTCCGCAGCTCACAGGGTCACGCCATGCATTCAACTCAGAAGCTGGGTGACGAAACTATTTCCAGTCTACAAATGGAGCAAAAATACTTCGGCCACCGTCCGGCAGAAGCAACAAATTTGCCTCTGCTTCGAACAGCGCCACTGTCTAGCGTCCATTTTTAAATATGATTGAAAATCCAGGACAATTGGTAAACAATCTAAACAATTTCTTGAGGCCTTAGAGATGTGGTTTTACAGAAAAAAAAATTCTTGGACAGCCAAAATGAGTAATCCAGAAGTTTTGAAAGAGGCAAGGGCCAGAAGACAAACATCAAACTTTTTGCTTATGATACAGGAAGAGATAGAGGGAAAAAATCAGGATGGGGGGGGGGGTTTGAACACATAAACTGATACATGTTGTTGGACATAGCAGGTAGCAAAGCTGCTAATAATCTATGCCAGTCTACAAGACACTAAAAGATAATGGTTATAATGATACTTGGGAACCCAGGCATTTTTTTTTAATACTCACAATATAGTATAAGAGTATGATAATTTTAGAAAATTAACTCCAAATACAGACGTACATAAGCACAGAATTTTTAATTGCTAGAAATTACTAACTCCACAAATAAACAACTTGCTAATTAACTTGCCATGTATGTAGCAAATCTGTTTTACAAAAACTATACTAAATGAAAAAGCTGAGGGCAGGCGAGCAACGGGTAGACAATGAAACAAAAGGTAGGATAACCTCAAGAGATTGGTAAAAAGCAATCAGAGAAAATGGTAATCCACTGCACCTAACATTCATTGTGGAGACATATGTTGATTAACTCTTTGAGTCCCAAGGAACGCAGAATACGTTCACAGGTTACTGCCTAGAAGCCCAATGAATGCATAATGCGCTGATTTTACGTCTCTCTTGACTACCCCTTGGGCCTGTGATGCTAAACCCTCTGGGACTAAAAGAGTTAAGAGACTGACATTAGTTGAGTTTTGAGGAATCAATACACTGGAAAAACATTCACCACAATTAAACAACAGGTTTATTTTGAACAAAGAAGACAGAAACAATAGCTTACATAATTTACTGACTAGCATATTTTGTATCTAATCAGATGCATACTACAGTAACAATCCTTCATTCAAAAGTAACTGCCTGTTTCACCAGTGCAAAAGCAAGTTCACAACCACTTCCTTTTGTCTGCATAATTCTGGACTGAACTTTTTGATTGTTGTGCACAGCATTATGTGGTCAGGTTAGGTTTAGAGAGCTCAAAATGCAATGTTCTTGTTCAAAAGGATGGGTGATCTTTTTTTCTACCAGGCACCTGAATTGTGTTTGTTGTGTTGTTGCTTTTGTTGTATTTCGCACTGCTTTCACCACCCATGATGAGTGTGACTAGCAAGACCTGGCTGCATTAAGAAAAACCTATCACAAAAGGTGCAGGAGATTTTAGTAACATTGTTAACATCATGTGTATTTGATGTGTTTCTTCTCAGAGACACCCAGCTCTTAACTTCCCTACAATCCTTTTCTCCTTTGTCCCTATTCTCTTCCTAACTTACCCTCTCTATGCAATGCTATTCTTGATAACCTGTACACACGAATCCACCTCAATATCTGTATAATTCATGTCCTGCTTGCACACATGTTTAAAATGTAGTGGAGGCCGACCATAACATTCTAGTCAAAAAATAAGTAAAAACCAAACTAGTCAGCATACCATACTCTGACAGCCAGGGGAAAGCCAATTTTAGCTACAGGACCTTTTTCCTAACATAGATTTTTACAGTTAATGATTCACAAATGATTCTTGGACATATAAAGACTTTTTCTGTCTGTGTCACCAACATCAACTAATAAAGACTCACCTTTTTTCTCCTTACTGGTCATAAACATGGACACAGTGGAAAATCTGGGCACCAAGCACAGTCTGTCCAAGATCTGGTAACCAAGCTCCACATCACCTGGCAAAAGATAACATTTTACCCTCAGTGATTCCCAAGCAGTTCCACACTCTACAAAAGAGGTTTCCAAACTGTATGACCCGAACTGTATGACCCGACACATAAGTGTGAAGTGTGGCAATTTATGTATGTGTCATGTTCATTCACTTCTAGACTTTGGTCCTATTCCATAACTTCAGTTCTGCATACACATTTTTTTTACATATCTGGCTCAATTGTAAGCAGACTGTTAGTTCCTCGCCTCTTAGGCAGATGCATTTTGACTAAGAAACAAACCTCTAATTAGTCACCATTTACAACATGCTTATTAGAGGGGCAGTGAGCCCCCACCCCCACCCAAAAAAATGGGTCCCGGAACCCACACATGGATATGTTTGTCTATAAAGTGCTGCCAACATGAACAGTTTGGAAGGAGTGTGAGAGGGTACAGCTATGGCACAAAATTTAATGACAATAGACTTAGTTGGTTACTGAAGAAGGGAATGGAGTACATGTGGGAATTCATAACCAGACAGCGCAACCTAGCTGCAAACCACAGCACAACAACCAACCAAACTTGTAAGGACAAACTAAAAAAAAAAAAATCTTCTGCTGCCCATTTCTGACAATCTTGTTCACACTATTGTACTGTTGTGTAATCTTTTATATATGAAATAAATAAACCGATAATGTATTAATCGGCACTCATAGAAAGAAGTAGAAAACACTAAATATAACAACTGAAAACTATAGCTACCATGCTAGTAATTCAACCTGTCAACTCCAAATGGAGTGTCGCATTGCCATGGAAACTAGTGTAAAAGATCCATGAGCAACTAACCCTAAAAAGGTTTTTTACATTGGCCATTTCGTACAGCTTAAAATCCACAGCTATGGAATACAGACAGAGTTCATCTCAAATAACTAAACTGGAACCACAGGTTACAGAAATGTATGTATGTTATATGTGTAACACATTGGAACCTACCAATCAAATCTAATTCTTAAATGTTTGTTGTATTCTAAACAAAGCATTACGGTCTGCTGTGTTTGTAATTGTTACTGTGTCTGTTATTTATTAACCTTTGCTCGGTTAATATAAATTTCTGTAACCTATAGTGCCTTCAAAATAAAAATTAAAAAACACACACGCCTGGCATGAAACAAACATTTCTGTCATCATCGTTACATCATAATAACCTCATAATGATGTCACTTTGCTCCATGTGGCCAAATAGACAAAAACCACTTGTTTCATAGTCAAAGGGAAGGAAAACAGTTAACTCCTTGTTCCATGTGTGTTTACTGATTAATTCACTTACTTAAAAAAAATTTATTTGACGTAAAAAAATGAATTACAAAATTAAGATTCATTATTTTAGTGATTTGATAGTTTTGCTGTAGCTCTGGACTTCAAGGTTGTCTATCTGCTCTATGGTCAAGAGGTTCAACCCCTGGATGTTTAAAAAACCTGACCAACACTCCAAATTTCTTATGTTCTCCTCTTCCTCTTGTTTCTTGCCTAGTTTCATAGAATTATAGGCCAAGAATCTGACAGAGACCAGAGTGTCTACCCTCCCCCCCCCCCTTTTCCCCTTCTTTCCGGCCATTCCCGCAACAAACAGGGAAAGTCAAGGACACGGCTATCCTCCGAATAATGGCCACATATTATGGCGGCCACAAAAACACCCCAACAGGGCCTCAGTCACATGTAAATTGCGGTCTTCCGGCGGCTTACATTGCGCACTTCCCGCGACTACCACAGGGAGTATCTCCCACGCCGCTGTGCGCAGTGTGGATTGGGGCTAAACTAGATGGCTGGGACTCCGAGCAGCAGCTTGCGCATCTCCTGCAGTTTTGCTCGTGAGTCCCAGCCATCTAGTTTAGCCCCAATCCACACTGCGCGTAGGGGCATGGGCGATACTCTTGGCAGTGGCAGTACAGTCGCCACAAGTCCCCAATTTACATGTGACTGAGGCCCTGTTTTTGGCCTTCATAATATGTGGCTGTTGTTCGGAGGATAGCCAAGGACCCTTTTATGTTACTCAATATCTGGTGCTGGAACCATATTTTTATAGACCAAATACCACCTGATGATTGCTATAGTCAACCTTTTCTTCTTAGTACATTTCTTGGTACCCTCTGGAGGCTGGGTTGACCTGGCAGCCCAGGTAACACATTCTTACAGATTTGTTTAACTCCTGATAGTTGGGCAAACACTGCAGACTTACCTTTGAGTACCATTTCCTCATAGACACAACGTACAATGATCTGCAACATTTGCCCATCAAGTTTGTTGCTAATGACTGTATACAAAAGAAAAAGAAAAAAATTAAACAGAAATTCATAATTTCATATGAATTCATACAATTTCAGTAAAAAATTTGTTGAAGAGTAATGGCACTTCTGATCCCCCCCCCCCCCCCCCCCCCCCCCCCCCTTAAATTGAAGGAAAACGTGAATACATGTATGCTCACATAAATGTCTCAGTGAGCTGATACTTACTCATTTATTTGTCTGAATGGGTTCATATTTGCTTATTTTTTTGTCCAAATGGGTTCATATATACTTATCAAATTGTCTTAATGAGTTAATATATACCTATCTATATGTCCGAATCAGTTCATATATATTTATTTATTGTCAGAATGAGTTCATATATACTTTTTTTTTGTCCCAAAGAGTTCATATATACTCATGTATTTTTCTGAATGAGTTCATACACATTCATGTATTTGTCTGAATCAGTTCATACGTACTCAATGTTTTTCTGAACACGTTCATACATACATACATATTTGTTTGTTTGTTTGAATAAGTTTATTTATTCACATGAATCTGTCTGTGCGAGTTCATAAATATATACACACACACATTTATTTTTCTAAATGAGTTTGTGTATACTTGCGTTTCTGCCTAAATGGGTTCTCTCTCTCACTCACTCAATCACTCACTCACTCACACTCACTCTCTCTCTCTCTCTACATGCGTGCACTCACTCAGGTATCTGAATAATTTTATATATACTCATGCATTTGTCTGAAGTGATTTATTTATATATACTCAGGTATTTCCCTGCACTGATTCATGGAATAAGAGGCTGACTGTAATGATGCTATAAATAGGGATAACGTCAGGGGATGACTGACATAATTGGGGAAGTCCCTGAGAGCATGGGTTTCACGAAGATATGGTGAAACGACAGGAAAGAGTGAGTCACGTGTGAATGGTGAGATCTGGGGGATTGAGAATCAGGCGGGCATTCTGTGACTGGGCCCCAGAGAGGAAGGATGTAACATTGAATAGGTGAAGATGAATAAAGAATGAAGAGCACATGGATCGTCTGAAGTATGCCTGGAGCATTAATGCGTGAGCAAGTCGAGATTGCCCCGAATGGTGTAAGTGGACATCGTTGTTGATTCGTGTATTGTGCTACCGTGATAATAAACTAATGAAATGTATAAGCTGGTGTCAACCATCGTTAGAAGTAGTGTGACCGATGAGAGCAGTGCAGTCTTGTTAGATTAAGCTGTGACCTAACCTCTAGACACAAGTGAAATCATTATACATTGATTCATTACATTGATTCATTACATTGATTTATTACACTGACCAAGGTTGACAAGAACTGAATTGATTCTTGGAATAAGGGACATGGGTTGACAAGAATAACAGTGGACACCTGACATCAAGGACACTCTATGTGAAAGTTCATGAAGCAGAGCTGTTGGCAAGAGACCAAGTGGCTTTCCCTTGTGCCATAATGAGAGTGACATTCTACAAACTACCTGCTACAAGATGATGATGATTCATCCGAATTAGTTCATGCTTACTCGTATTTATCTGAATTATTTTCAGCATTCTTAAGTAATTACAAGAGGCCATGGTGTAAGACTTGTTTTCAGGTCCTAGCAGAGCCAGACTTTTTTTTCAAAAAGACTTTGGCTCCCAGGTCAACCCAACTTTAAATGGGTACTAGGTACAATCCTGGGAAGTAAACATGCCCAGTGTGATGCTGACAACATCATCCACTGGCCGATTTGTCTATAAAATATAGGTCTAGCCCTCTATGCCAAATATGTCCTGAAGGTGTGAAAAAAGGGTCCTAAAACTTAAGTAATTGTCTGAATGAGTTTATGAACATTTAAATAAGCAAGGACACATGTGTTAGTGATCTCACCTGAGGGTAGGTCTGCAGGAGGAATCTGTCTCAAGATGTCTGCATATGGCTGGACACCCTGACATGATTTCAGTGAGTTCCAGGCTTGGCAGAACTCATATGGTGTTGTCTTCATCAGACGTGGTGCAGTTGGGGGAGCCAGTGGTTGGCCTTGGATGGGTGCTTCATGTGTCTGAGACTGTTTCTTGCTAACATTATTGTTGTGCTTCTTGTCTGCACTGCTAATTTTGGATTTGCTGCTGGCTGACTGCTGTGGCTGTTTGCCACTCCTCGATTTACTCTGTCCTTTTATTTTATCTGTTGATAGAAGGATACCTTTTAATAAAATAATGCAAACTTTTGTCTCTAGAAACTGATTCCTTGCTTTAAAAAACTGTTAGCTGAGCTGAAAAACTAGTAGTGTAAAGTAAAAGTGAAGGGTTTTTACCATTTCTGGTGAATCCGGCATACAGTGCTAGACATATATTTTATAGACCAATCGGCACCTGATAGGTAAAATGGTCATCATCCCAATGGCTGCCTCTACCTCTGAAGAATTACATGGTAACCATTTCAGGCTGGGTCGACTTGGGAGCCAAAGTCAAGTTTGAAAGAAAGCTGTCTTGACATGGATTTAAAATCTAGATCTTCGGGCCAGCAAGTAAGGACAGATCCAAGACAAAGATACCCTGGGTAGACTTCCATAATATGTGCACCCTTCCCTTGGTAATTATGGGAGCTGTAGCAGTTCAGTGGCTAGTATGCTTGTCTAATCCTCTCCAAGGTAAATTTTCACAAATAACCTGTTCTCCCAGTTGACTGAAAATGCCTTTCATCTGTGCCAATAATGTTTGTGTTGTGATATTGATAAAAAATGGCTAGAAGTCGGTTTGCATTTTATTTGGCTATATGCCTTATGCATTAATACTCTGTGTGTAGGCCAATTTTTTTTGTGACTAACTACTTCCGTCAATGTCAAATTGAAATTCTAGTGCTGCCTGTTGGTGTTGGCACCTATAGTGATGGCTTCTGAATTTATGCAATTTCATATTTCTGGATTTTGCCAGGACTAAATGTTTGTTCTCTAGTTTTGATATGAGATAGCGAAGGGCATTCTGTGTGAATTTCACAGGCACAGGAATGGAGACATTATGGAGTGACTCATCTCCAGCTAAGTCTAAGCCTCAAATATTACTCCTACTAGGCAGTATAATGAAATTTTGTGGAAAGTAAAGACAGTTATCTGCAACATATTTAGTGGGCTGGGTACATCAGAGCAAAACTGGTTTGAAAAAAGAAAGAAAAAAATCTGAACAATACTCACAACTGAACCCAAGCTAACATCTTGATAAGCAAGTGCACTGTTACTACAATTGAGAGTTATTTCTACAAAATCATCCAGCTGCCAAGCTATTGTGTCACATTATATGCAGTTTAGTACTCCATTATATTCTGTGCAATCCTGTGGATATCACTGATGAAATCCAGCCTTGGCCTCTCTCAACAAAGTTCATCTTAGGGTTTTCCTTGCACACACACATGTCCTCCATTCATTTGTTTTCTATTACAGAGTCTGTTTAATGATTCTCTGCCTCTGTTTCTCTTATGATGTGCCCAGTATACTGCCATCTTCTTATTCTTAAAACTGCTGATACTTGTGATTGTCCAGATATTTCTCATATTTCATCAATATCCTTAGGCATTTGTTTTCAAATGATTTAACTTTTGTTCAATGTCTTTAGAGGTGTTCCAACTTTCAGGGGCATATATTATTTCTACATGGACCACCATAATTTTAAACCACTACTAGGAAAACATTATACAATTAAACTAACACAAGTTATTCTCCAAAAGAATAGAAATCTATTTGCAACTATCTTTAATGCTAAATCCTTTCCACAGCAGAAAAAGACACATTACGTTCACTGGCTGCTATTTATATGGTAAACATGTATACATACTCTTCCTGTTCCATTCTTCCCATATGTGAACTCTGTATCGCAGTTGTTACAGAACCCCCTTCTGTATCAGAGCTGTGCATTTAAATTCCATGAGTGTTTAAAAAAAACTTGTTGCTCGAAGATACAAATCTTCAGACAGGCAGTGTTGAATCAACAACATCCTGGTGGGGTAAACAAGAATAACCCACCTCTAGACTAACTGTGGGCATCCTTACATGAGAGGCAAGGAAACAACAGTCTGCATGTAGATATTTCAGATTTGTAATATGGAGGTTCTGGAACAAGATTAAAGTCCTGAGGTAGACGAACAACCAGAATTTTCAACCAGCGTTTACAGCCAGGGAAAGCAAAGAAAAAGAAGAAGATGAAGAAGGAAGAAGAAGAAGAAGAAGAAGCAGAAGAAGAAGAAGAAGAAGAAGAAGAAGAGGAGGAGGACGAGGAGGAGGAGGAGAACAATAATTAACAACTACGTTGGCCTGAAAGAGTTAAAAGACTCATTAAGAAGTGTGCATTTATTTTTAACATGTTAAATGCCAATTAAACAAAACCATTATTTTCTCTAAATGATTCAAAAAAGACAAACCTGAAACTTTTGCTCTAGGTTTTTCTTCTTCCTCCTCCTCATCAACCTCTTCAATTTTCACCCTCTTCCTAACCTTTGATTCTTTTTCAGCAGTTGCCTTCTTTTTCAGAATTTCAAATTCCTGAGGAGGACAAAAATTAAGCTGAAGTGGGTAGAAAAAATATACTTGTGAATTTTACTATAAAAACTAAATCATATATATAGATAATGTTAAACTAGAATACAGAAAAGGTAACAGATGTAAAACAGATGTTCTGTGCTAAATATAACTGTTTTATTAAAGAAGAAATTGGATACACCCCCCCCCCCCCCCTTCCCAAATTACCTAACTTCTTCTTCCTCTTCATGTTCACTGGCTGTAAGTACTGGTTGTTCATTCACTTCTGGACTCTGGTCCTGTTCCAAAACCTGAGTGTTGTGTATACATCTGTTTTACAGGTCTGACTCATTTGTACACCAACTGTTGGTTCCTTGCCTCTTAGGCAGATGCACTCCGACTTTAAAGAAAGCTCTTAAATAGTTGACTTCTATGACAAGCATTTGGGCAGGCAGTTGGTCTATTCTTATTTTCTGCACAACGGAAACCCGAAACCCACAAAGGGAATTAACTAACTGAGTTGAGTTAAGAACTGACATCAAGGCAATCAGGACATTCCCAGAAGTACTCTGTCCTCATCTTCAGCAGTCAAAGCAAAGTTCCAATACTGATGATGCTAGTAGCAGTCTTGATTATTTACCTAGCTAGCTAGATACCCAGTTCACTCCTTGCAGCACACTTCTGCCCAGACTGTAATGATATATTTGCTCTTCACAATGTCCACCTTTTCACAAAGGGCCTTTGCCACATCTACCTTGGCACGCTTCATTTCACTGCCAAGTGGTGCAGAACCAGCCAATCTCTCTGTCTGTTTGTTTCTTAACACACCAGAGGTATCAGGAGACAAGATCCAAAGGACACTCTTAACTCGTGGCTTTGGTGTGATGACTGCCATTCTGCTAGAAGAGTGCCTATCTCCACCTTTCTCAAAAATGCTTTGTGAGTTCATTACCATCATAACATGTGTATGCAGCTGGTTCTCAAGCCTGTGGAAGGTACAGCTTTCCGCTAGCATTATCTAATTCATTCGTATTGACTACTTCTAATTTACTTCTCAGAAAAATATACCTCTTTGTATAACAGCTTGACAGCGTCAATCTCCTTTTGAGCTGCCGAGTTCTTTGGCTCCAACTTTACCAGTTCTATTAGATCTTGTAAGCTGAGTTTGTATTTCTTAGACATCTGAAGACACATAAATCAGTAAGCCACCATGGTAACTGGATACTCAGCACTTTAACTAATATAAATAATACTAAACAGTGTGGTGATGGGGAGGTAGGAAGCGGCATGCATGGTTTGAGGAGGAGGGGGGATTTGCACATCAAAACTAGAGACAACCAGAAAAAATGTTCGAGGCAGGCTATTAATCATCTGAAGGACAAAAATATATATAGAAAGCAGGCATTAACAAAAAGATAACCTAGAGAATGGTACCTTACAAAATTGTGACCTGGCAGTAACTGAATAACTTTACTAACATAAACAAAATTATAGTGATAGTATTAAACATACATATTAGAAAGCAGGAAATACATGGGATCATACAGACAATAATTTGTCAAAGTCACCTTAGTGCACACTTGGTGATTTTCTCAGCATTTCAGGACTGTTATTTGTTACTTTATACATATGTAATATACCAAAGGCATTCATGCGAATTCTACTCCAGAAAAGAGGTTAAAATGTTCTTCATCTTCTTCTTTGTATTTGGTTAATATAGGCTACAGTCACACTGTCAGGTAGACTGCCTCTATGAATCTGCATGTCATCTGCATGTCCCTGCTGTCTCCACACACCTCTTCAAGCCATGTTTCTCTTTGCAGTTGTTAACTATAGTGGGCAAGTCTGTAGAATGTGCACAGGTGTTTGTGGTCCCATCTGACTCGCACACTGTGGGATTTGTATGGTGTTTATTTTATTCATTTGTAGTTGAGCCTATAGTGTCCTTTCCTTTGGAAAATTTTTGTATATTTGTTTCTGTTGTCTTTAATACTAGTTTGCTCTCTCCACGATTCTGTGTATTTTCCCTTGATAAGTGATTTCTTGTCTTCTTTTCATTCGCCTTCTTCTTTACATCCTCTTTAACCGCTTAAAGTGTCGAGGGAGACATAAGGTCCTGCTTCGTGCTCTTCTGGCCACTTTAACCATAGACACATTGTAGTGCTGTAGAGTTTCTCTGATGTTATCTTCCCATCTTGTTCTTGGTCTACCTCTTGCTCTAGTCCTCCTCTTTTCATATATGCCTTGCATGGTATAGCATCGTTCGTCAGAGTGACATAATTGAATTGCGCCTGTTTACTGCACAATTGCAATATTTGCGCCCAACTTCATTTTACTAGGTTCACCAGGTTTAGCCTTCCCGGTGATAAGTGATTTGATTTCTGGTAATGATAATGAATAGTTGTATTGTTTCTTGTTTGTTCCATTAAGGAAGTATTGCTTTTCACACAATTACACAATCATGGTTACAGGGATCTCAATCTTCAAATGTGATTTTCCCGAAACAAGAAATTAGCACTGAGGTGACTTTGGCAAAGTACCAATGATATATACAGTTTATTATCTGCAAATTTGTTTGAAGTCATTCAGATTAGAAAATACAGACACATCTGGAAAATACAACATATTAATATTCTTTTACCTAAATAACTGTGAAGAGGTTAGTTTTCTTTTCTCCAGGGCTGCCATCCTCTCTTTGACAAATACCATAAACATTATGTTTCTCTGTGGGTACTGGTTCAATATGTTAACTTTTCCAGTTCAGTAGCAAAGTTTTATAATTTTGAACTGTAGAAGAAATTGTAAATTAAAATCCCTTTACATGATAGTGGTGCATCAGGCATGTGAAAACAGATGCATATTTTCATAGACCAAACAGCCCTCGATGGGTGATGTGGTTGACATCACGCCAACTGCCTTTACCTCCTGGTAAAAATAAAATACCATTTGGTGCCCATTTAAGGCTGATTCGACCTGGGAGCTAAGGTCATGTTACAGTTATAACTAGATAATCATCAAATGTGCTCACCTTACGTGCCAGTGCCCTTCTGTATAATGCTTTAGGGTTGTTAGATTGCAGACCCAGTGCCTTGTCACAGTCAGCTTCTGCCTGACTTGCCTGAAACAATTTGCACAGTATTTGATAAACTGTTCTATCTTTGTCAGACAAAGGACAGTACAACAGTTGGTATCCATTTATGCCATATTTGTACAATTATACGGTCTTGGATTTCTATACATCCTCAGGTCCAAATTGGAGCAATGAGCTAAATAAATTAAAGATTTATTCCATCTACGTGCACACACACACACACAGCTTTGCAAATCATAAAGAGGACTTCATTCTTCTCAGGCCAGCGCAGGAGCATACTCTAAGACAATTAATGATTTATGGAAACTGGGAACTTATATAATGTTCAGAGGAAGAGAAAGAAGAGCAATAATAAGGTTGTCAGCAATTTGGATCATTTGTAGGGATGTGTTTTTGAGTGTACATCCGCTTTATCTTATTTCTGGAAAAGGGAACCACTTCTTTTTTGTTCACCGGCTGTAAGTTCCAGCAGAAATCTCTGGTTGTTCTGTTTTTGTCTTACCCATAATGGGGCACTGGAACCCACACAAGCAATATGACCATATAACATATTTATCAAAAACTTACCTTATTCAGCTTTAGATAACATAGTGCTCTATTCGTAAAACATGCCACCTGGTCAGGACAAAGAGAGATGCAGGTACTGTAACATTTGACAGCTTCTTGGAACTGACCCTGTTTACAGAAAAGCAATCACAGGCTAGTTACAAGCAGCAATCTCTGCCCATCAACAACTACTTGTTATAATTTAAATTTAGAGCTAGAAACTTGTGCATATGCATCAAGGTTAAGGCAGTCCTATTTTTTAGAATCATGTCAGTAATGACCAAATAGTTCATCAAGCAGCGTCAAAGTCCTTCTTCAGGGACAGTGTCCATCATCCCTCCCCCTTTTTACATGTCTGAATGCCTGTGGAGACTTCTTCTGACAACTCCAGGTGAATCCTTGCTTGCTTTCTAACAGTTGCTTTGTTTAATTTCATCATACCTGCTTATATACCTTTCATATGCAATAAAAACACTGAGACAGGTTTGACGTCACCATGTAAAAACTTAAGGGGGAATTTCTGCTGGTGTTCTTGTTAATTAATCTTACACTAAGGGACCACATAATCTGGTTGCTTCTGTATGTATTTAAAAAAGAAAAGTAGACCTATATTTTTTTTAGACCAATCAGCACAAGATGGGTGATGTGGTCAGCATCACGCCGACGGCCTCTACTTCCCGGGACTGCACCCGGTACCCACTCAAGGCTGGGTTGACCTGGGAGCCAAGGTCATTTTTGAAAAAAGTCCATTTCCTTGTATGTAATTAGTACTTGTTTCATTTTCAACTGTCTAATATATTTCTGGTTTAGATTCTTCTTGTTACTATGAATACTTCTATGACTTAACAAACTTAAGATTTCTCCTTTTCTTTAGGCATCCACAGACGCTGTCAGAAAAAGCAATATCAAAAACGTAAATATCTAAAAGAAAAGTAGAGAAAATAGATTATAACCTTAAGAAAGATATAACTGAACTATTTTACTTTTATTTTTGAGATGGTCGGAGTCTGTGGCTAAGGTGTTGCAAACGTGCTTCATGATTCTGAGATACCTGGTTTAATTCCAGCTGCAGGTGATAAACGGCTTTGTACTGATTTCAACAAAGGTATTGAGAGCTGACTGTTCAGGAGGGGGGAGGGGGGAGCATTACATTTTAGTTACTGCAATAAAGAACGCTGGTTTGGTGGACCCCTTTCTGTCTTTCCAGACGACAGTGTTATATTGTGCTATGTGAAGCCATGGGAAATTATAGCCCATGGTGATGGCGAGTGTGATTAGCAAGACCCACCTGCATTAAGAAAAGTTTTCCACAATTAGAGCAGGGGATTTCACAACCATTGTTGCCATCATATGTACTTTGCAGATGCTCAGCTCTCAAATTTTCTGCAATCAAGTTTTTCCTTTATCCCTATTGCCTTCCTGATTTTCCCCTCCACTCAACGAGGTCCATGGCATTTGTAAAGAACATGAAGGATGTGAAATCCTTGTCACACTTTGACAAAGCATGCCTACCTTTTGAACATACTGGTTTCCTCTGGCCTTCAGACTCTCAAACTCCTGCTCTTTGCTACACTGGTTTACAACAGTCTCTGGTTTGGGGGTGTTGCTACTGTCAATGCTAGATGACAGTGGTGGTAGGCCTTCCACCTGATTGACAACTGGCATCTGCTGTGATGGTGCTGAAGCACTCTCAGGTAATGTTGAAAATGTATTAGTTTCTTCTGCCTGTAACGGTTTGCTGGATTTATCTGAAGGAGATGTAGCTCATGTTAATATGTGAGTTGTAAGGATACTTGACAAATTATACAATTATGTATCATTATTAACATTAACAAATTCTTCTTCTAAATATTCACCAGCTATAAACTCTGGTCAAAACAGAAGGTGAACATGTTGGTAATACAGTGTTACGCACCAACAAATGATTAAGATGCATCTGTTAAGGAAGAATATAAATAATGAAAAAAAGGGCAATTTAAACATTTTGAGGGGTGACCTGAATGCTAAGATATTATGAGAGGACATGGACTAGGAGTAATGAATGAAAATGGAGAACTGTTCACAAATTTGTGTGCAGGAAACCAGTATGTTATTGGTGGAAGTATTTTTCCCCATAAAATAATACACAATGCAACATGGGAATCACCAGACCATAAGACAACTAATCAAATTGATCACATATGTATTAACAAAAAGTTTAGATCATCCCTTTACGATGTTAGGGCTTTCAGAGGTGCCGATGTATTTACCGACCATTTCCTGGTGGTAAGTAAAATCAAGTTGAAACTAAAAAGATATATAACATCTTATAATCATAGAAACCAATATAATGTAGGTTATCTCAGGGATAAAGAAGTAAAGGAACAGTTCTCAGTTACAGTCTCTAACAAGTACCAGGTGTTGCAGCAGTTAGCTGAAGATGTCAGCACAGAAGTCTTCTGTGATCCGATCAAAGGAATCTGGAATGAATCTTGCGTAGAAGTTCTTGGCAAGAAAGAGCGGAAACATAAAGCGTGCATAACACCAGAAACCATCAAACTGATTGAAGATAGGAAAAGTAAAAAGGCAGACTTAAACAATAGCAAAACTAGAGCTGCTAAAGCTAGAGCTCAGGATAAATACCCAGAAGCCAATAAGGAAGTTAGGAGGCGTATAAGGGCAGATAAAGTGAAATATCTAAATGATCTAGCAGTGGAGACAGCAGCAGTAAAAGGAAACCTCAGAGAACTTTACAGTTCTGACTGTACTTACTAACACTAAAGATTAAACAGACAGATGGGTTGAATATTTTGAAATGCTTCTAAACAGACCAGGTCCAGAGGTTCCCCCGGATATCCAGCCTTTAGAAATGGAACTGGATATCAACTGTGAGATACCATCCAAAGAGGAAATTGGAAAACCTAACAATTTTCTCAAGGAAGGAAAGGCGGCAGGCCCAGATGGTATCCCAGCTGAAGCCTTAAGGGCCAACATAAACACATCAACAGAATTGCTACATAGATTATTCAGTAAAGTCTGGGAGATCGAAGAAATACCAGCAAACTGGAGAGAAGGATATCTTGTGAAACTGCCCAAAAAAGGTGATCTACAGGAGTGTGAAAACTATAGAGGAATTATGTTGCTGTCAGTTCCTGAAAAAATATTAAGTAGAATTATTTTGAAAAGATTAAAAGATGCTATTGATAAACAGCTAAGAGATGAACAGGCAGGTTTTTGGTCAAACAGATCCTGTACTGACCAGATAGCCACATTATGTATTATAATAGAGCAAAGCATTGAACTGAACTTACCACTTTACATTGGATTTTTAGACTTTGAAAAAGCATTTGACAGCATTCATAGGAAATCTCTATGGAAACTGATGGGGCACTATGGAATCCCACAGAGAATTATTAACTTAGTAAAGGCAATATATAAAGACATGAAATGTTGTGTTCTTCATGAGGGAAAGCTAACAGATACATTTGAAATAAAAACAGGTGTGCGCCAGGGATGTCTTTTGTCGCCTTTCTTATTTTTACCGGCTATAGACTGGACTATGAAAACAGTAACTGCTAACACCAAGAATGGAATTCAGTGGACCCCTACAAAACAACTTGAGGATCTGGACTTCGCTGATGATATTTCTCTTCTGTCCCATTCACGGAATCAGATGCAAGATAAATTAAATATCTTTGATGGGAGATCACAGCAGCTTGGTCTGAAAATCCATAAAGGAAAGACAAAGACAATGAGAATAAACCAGGCAAATAGTAATGTGGTTTCTCTTAATGGCACCCCACTCCAAGACGTGGAGTCGTACACCTATTTGGGCAGTAATGTAGACAAAGATGGAGGAACTGATAGAGATACTAAAATAAGAATACAAAAGGCAAGAGGAGCTTTCATAGCACTAGGGAATTTGTGGAGGTCAAAAGAAATTAAAAGAAATACTAAACTAAAATTTGTTAATTCTAATGTCAAATCAGTACTTTTGTATGGGGCGGAAACATGGAGAACAACTAAGGCAATTACTAATAAATTACAGATATTCATTAACTGGTGCCTGCGCAGAATAGAGGGAATTAAATGGTATGATAGAATAACGTAGAGCTTTGGGAGAGAACTAAACAGGCTCCAGTGGAACAAGAGATGAGGAAAAGATGCTGGCCTTGGATTGGACACACACTGAGAAAACAGAACAGCATAACCAGAATGTCTTTGCATTGGAACCGACAGGGGCATAGGAATAAAGGAAGGCCAAAAAACACATGGAGAAGAGAGCTGAAGAATTAAGTTAGAAAGATGGGGAGAGCTCCATGAAATGGCAAAGGATAGAACGACTTGGCGTGAGTTGGTTGAGGGCCTATGCTCTATTGGGGGATAGAAAGGCAGAAGAAGAATAAACTCCGGTGGAAAGTTCTGACTGTTTTTCTACTTCTGGACTTTAGTTTTGTTCCAGAACTTGAGTTATGCGTACAAATCCATTTCACATATCTGGCTTATTTGTATGCAGTCTGTTGATTCCTCGCCACTCAGGCAGATGCACTCTGACTTTGAACGAACCCTTAATTAATCAACTTTTACGACATGCTTGTCGTTCCCCCCCCCCCCTCCCCCCAAATGGGGCATAAGACCAGAAGTATACCAACAGCCAGAACTTCCCACCGGAGTTTACAGCTGGTGAACACACAGAAAAACAAGATTATCGACCAGGATAGACCTTTGTGAATCACATAAAGTGAGTTATGTATATATGATCTGGTGTGGACAAGCCTTTTCTTTGCCATATTTATGATTCATCAACTCAGAACAAATTAATTAAACAACTATTTTATAACAAAGAATATAAAAGTAATATAGTGCAATTTCCCATTTTTAAAAGCACTGCATGATTAGTATGACCTATCCTACACAATCTACAATTTTATATCTAACACACAAAGAAAAATATTTATCAACAAATCAGAACAAAAACATTACAAATGAACCATATAGCAGAAAAGGTGGGAATTATACACAATAAAATCATTATATTAATTTACGACACACAAACAACTTCGAGCTGAGATGAGTTGATTCAAGAACTGACATCACTGCACTCAAGGCATTCTCATTCACAAACCATTTCTATCTTCAGCAGCTAGCACAGAGTTTCAATACCAGTGGTGCTAGTAACAGTTTGATTATATGTCCGTCTTGTCTTTCCTCCAAGTGTCGACTATCGGCCAGATCCCCTGTCACTCCTCACTGCATCACTCCCACCAGACTGTAATAATGAATTTGCTACTCCGAACTGTACACGCGCTCCCATAAGGCTTGATCATGTCTGCCTTATCAGGCATCAGTATTCCACCAATTTGTGCAGTGCCAGCCAGTCTGCCTCTTGTTCATTTCTCAAGACACCAGCATAACCCGTACAAAAGATTGAGATAATGCTCCACACCCGCGACCTCCGAAGTGAAGCATGCCACTCTGCAAGAAGCATGCCTGACCTCATCTTCTGCAGCATGCTTTCTGAGTCAGTTACAATCATGATATGTGTGTGCGTGTATTGTGTTCTCTAACCAGCAGAAAGCTTCAGTGACCGCATCCACTTTTATTCTTAAGATAGATGTTGTAGTATCATATTCTAGGCTCTCCTGCACCAAATATCGACCACTGGCTTTTGCTAAGAACCCCATGCACTTATTTTGCCTCTTGACCCTGAACCTTCTGTATAAATAATCAAAACAACTTCTAAGAAGTAAAAGTACATCACTTGTATGGATTCCACCCCCCATCATGACTATACAGCTATCTGACTTGCACCAAATTTCCATTTCTGGGTTCAAGTGTGAAAGGATCTTTAACTTTTCACTTAGACTCACTGTGATGATGTAATTTTTGAGTATTACTAAAAATGATTATATTTTTTTGTATTATGTGGGAAGGGGGGAGGGGCGTCATTTCCACAATGGACGTTGGCTACTGTGCATCCCCTGCTGTTTTTGAGAACATTACCTGGTGCATCTCTTATAATACCATCAGAAAACCACAACAGCTGCTGTCTACCGCTGAAGTTGGACACTGGTACTCAAGAATTATGAAACTGTAAAATATATTCACTAAACTCTAAGATCTGCAAAATATATTAGTTAGTTAGTTGTGTGTCCTTAACAGGATGTTGCAGAACCAATCCCAGCACATTCAGCTTTTGACTACTAGACCAGGGGTCGGCAAACTCATTAGTCAAAAAAGGCAAAAATCAGCGGCAGGACAATAAAAATATTTTAGAGCCAAATTTCTTTTCAAGAACCTGTCAAGAATCATGATTTTCAGACTCAAAACCGATTTGTGGTCGACTGGCCGAGCCGCACTCAGGTCGCTAAAGAGCCACATGCAGCTCACAAGCCACAATTTGCCGACCACTGTACCAGTCATTTTTATGAACAGTCAGCTCTCTATTTAACTGTACAACTAAAAATTGGCGGTCTGCTGCCAAATCGCCCACAGCTGGGATTGAACCCGGCACCTTGGAATTACAAAACATATTTGTAATGCCTAGTCCCAGACCTAAATATATTAGTACGGGGGAAAATAAATTAAGCTAAGAAACTCTTACCATCATTATCAGCTAAAGACACTGTTGAAGACATTGATCTACTCAAGCCAGCCTGATCAACAATTACAGGTACTTCCCAATCCCTGACAAACACCAAAGGTGGTATCTTCTCACGCCATGACATAAGCCCAAATTTCTGCTGAAGCATGCTCTGGCATCTGCAGTTTTAAAAAAAAAAAAGGAAACATGGAAACTGGATTAAAGTCAGAAGATTCTCTCGCACCAAGTTTATTTCTTGTTGCAGAAAAGTGCTGTTTGCATAAATAAAGTGTCAATATAATTCAATCGAGGATAATCTTATATCAAATTTACTACAAATACAATCTCCTCTACAATATACATGTTTATTCCTTTTTTCTCCTGAAGCGCTCCTTGTGTAAAATGACAATATAACACACGTCTATGTAAATTAATACTGACTGGACAGAAGTTAAAACTCTACTAAGAATATTTTTTATTATTTTTGTTGTTTTTTTCAAGAATGCATTGCTCCTATAAAATGTTTGTATAATGGTCATTCGGTGCCTTGCTAGATTATACTTTCAGGCATTCGTGTCTTTCCACAGATCTCAGTATTTGATGTTCTGAATCACTTCTTTCCCAGTGTCACAATCTTTTTCCTTCACTTGCCATTTTGAATGGTGGTTGGATTTTGTGTTTTAGTTTACAGTGAAAACTATGCCTTTCAGCCCAACGCATCCGATTTTAGCAAACCCCTAATTTACACCTAAGTGCCTTTTTTATACATGCTTGTTTGGGGGAGGGGTGAATGCTGCCCCAGTAAAGAGATGTATATATTGCTTTATTACTTGCAGCTAAATACTCATCAGGCATCTCCGATAAGATCTTTTGGGATTTAAAGAGTTAATAACTTAGCCTATATGTATACAAAATAACTAAAACAATGGACTGGATTGGAACATCTAAAACAGCTACAACCGCTCTTCTCTTGCAGTCCCTGTTGCAGTACAACAAACCAAGCAAACAGAGGCCATACCTTGCAGCTCCCTGGTGTGCTTGATCAGCAGAGGAGTCAAGGCTTATCACGTGTTTGTAGTCAACGTAAGCTTCTGCATATCTGTAATGTTACACAGACATATACATTATTGCTTTCAGTTATTATTCTGTAAAAACATAATGTAAACTAACATATTTTGAGCTTTGGGGTTTCCTCTTCCTATAAAAACATGACTAAAACAATACTACCGGCCTCAATTATAAATTTCCTTTAAGCACATGATGAAATAGTATTATTGCTTTCAGTGCTTTTTCCTTTAGCAATATTTTTTTTTTAAAAACAGTACTAATGCTTCTAGTTCTCTCTCTCTTTTTTTTTTTTTTAATATTAACAAATGCTGGAAGCTAACCATCCGAACAACAAATCCACAAAGTTCTTTTTAAACAACTGAAGGCTTTGAAATGAGGACATCAACACAGCATCCACGATTTAAAAGATCACAATGGAACATGATTTAAAAAAATGGTAATGGTAGGTAACAAATGGAAACAATGTTTTGCTTAACTGTTAAATTGTGAAACTTATCCAGATGGAATTGCTCTGAACTTTTAAAAGAAGGTGGACATGCATCACATTTAAAAATATATGAATTAATAAAACTAGTCTGGAAGAAATTACCCCATAAGTGAAAAGAGTCATTATTAATACCCATTTTTAGGAAAGAAGACAAGTATAACTGGGAAAATTATAGAGGAATAGCGTGTCTAAGAGCTATAAGATACTATCAGCAGTAATGCTAAACTGACTAAAACCATATTTTGAATATATTGGGTGAATACCAGGCGGGTTTCTTACAGAACAGATCAACAATAGATCAGATATTCATTTTACTGCAAATAGCAGGGTACTGTTTTTGTAGATTTAAAAAAAAGACATTTGATACTGTACATAGAAACAGTTTATGGAATGCTATAAAGGACTTCGGAATATCAAAGAAGTTAATTACTGTGATAAAACTATACATGGAAGATAATTATAATATAGTAACACAAAAAGGCAGAATGTGAGACCCTTTTCAAATAACATCTGATTTAAATCAAGGTAATGCTCTGTCCCCACTTCTTTTCAACTTGGCCTTAGAGAAAATTATTAGGAAATTGAAAGAAGAGTGTAATATAGGAGAAACTATAAGAATAACTGCGGCGTCTGTGGCTTAGGCGTTGCGTGTCCGACTTGAAATCCAGCGTACCGCGATCGAAACCCACTGCTGGCTGCGTGGATTTTTATCATGGTACGGGGCGTCGCAGGTCGACCCAGCCTAAAATGGGTACCAGGATGGGCTGTCCTGGGAAAGTAAAGACAGCCGGTGTAATGCTGACCACATTACCCACCGAGTGCTGATGGCCTGTAAAAATATGGGCGCTCTTCCCATATGCCCGATACGCCTAAATGCGTGGAAAGGGATCTTTACTTTACTTACTTTATAAGAATAACTGGTCATAAACATGACACCAACATCATTGGAGACAATGAACTAGAGACGGTAAAAACACTGATTTTCTTAATAGAAGCAGCTCACAAAATGAGACTAGTTTGATAAGTCAAAATAAGACAGAATACATGATCATAACAAGATAGGGAAACTTTGGCCACACACAAGTCGATAAAATGAAAATCCAACAAATGGAAACATATAAATACTTGGGTTTAAACTTCAACGGCTCCAACATGCTGAGAGAAGAAATACAATCTAGAATACAATATGAAAATAAATATGCTGAATGGTTGTAGACGATCAGGCAGACCAAGAAGACGGTGTAAAGATAATGTCCAGACAGACCTACAAACATTTGGGTCACCAACTGGAAAGAGAAGGCCAATGAGAGAGATGAATAAAGGTGGGCGATATCTGCAGCAATGAACATCAAGGGCTCAGAATGCTGAGGGAGAAAAAGATAAACAAATGCTTGTGTCTGATTATTCAATCAAAGAAGAACATTCTACACTATGAACAAATGTTGTTAATATATAAAGTAATATTACATACAAGCTATTTCAGACTAAGAATAGATGTCACTGAATATAAATAAGGTGCACAAATTCTGCAGCACAAAATGGAATCCTATCAGCCAAGGTCATTTAGGAGTAATCTCTTTCAGACTATGAACAAAGTTATCTGCTCTCAAAGTGTCAGCCCTAACTGACACTTTATGTTCAGTTTCTTTTTCATTTGTGATTTTCTCATTTTATTCAGTTTGGATTTGTAGTGTTTATTATTTTTCCTTTTTTTTTTTTTAAAAGCTTTGTCATTTACCCCTTGAATAAATACAATAAATGTTTGTGTAAAATAGACAATCAAAGCTGTATACAAAAATAATGTGTGCAACACAGGCTAAAACACTGATAACATGTACATGTTTTCAACGAAAATAAACATTTTAAAACTTATCAAAAATGCATAACAAACATACTTTTCTAGGCCTTCATAAGCAGCCGCCCGTCGCAGTAAAGTTTTACTTCCATGTGGTACCAGCTGAAGGGAGTGAGTGCAGTCTGACACTGTCTGACTCAAATTTCCTGTCTTCAGATGACACACAGCACGGTTGCTTAACAGCACAGACAGGTTCACATGCTGATCAGAATCTGTAAAGTATTATTATTATTAATTAATAAGCATGAAGGTACAGGTAATATCAGAAAAGAAAAGAAAATGAGGAAGACCAAGAGAGACCCTGGTAATCAGGTAATCTGGTAATTTTTAATTTCAACTTCATAGCAAACGGGTCACCCCATCCTTGCTCCGCTCCTGTGCCAACAAAAAACACACAGAATGTTTATCACAGTCCCTTGTGGAAAGACTGGCAAAACTGCTCTCTCAGCAAATCTAGCATACACTGGCATTAAAAGCATATGGTAGCCATCCGAAGTGCTAACAGAAACAGTCCAACGTTAAAAATGCAGCTCAGCATTGATGGTAGCAGAAGTCATTAAAAGATCAGCAGTTGCACAAGCGACTAATTTTAATCAAATAATGGCCCCACCAATATTGCGACAACCGGCATTGCACCATTTTCTGAATCTACAAATCACACCACCACGTTGGTCAGTCGAAAAACATTCCAAATGAAATCTGCAGCTCACAGTGTCACGCCATGCACTCAACTAAGAGTCTGGGCAACAAAACTATATACTTCAGTCTACAAATGGAGCAAAAAAAAAGCAACAGGCCACAGTCTGGCAGAAGCAAAAAATGTTTGCCCGGCTCAAAACAGTGGCAGTGCCTAGTGTCCATTTGGACCTGAAGCATTATGTGAGGGTTAATAACGGTCACCCAAGCAGTACCCTCACTATTAGCTAAGAGAGACCCTACTTAGAACCATCATCAGGGAAGGCTCAAATATGGGCCTAACAAACATCCATGACCTAATGCAGCTGGCAAGGAATTGCCAGAAGAGCTATGACCTCTGCCCAATGGCTCTGCCCTAGGCTCAAGAGCAAATATTAAGACTAACTAACAGGTAATAATTCTCCAGAAGGCACAGGAAAGCAACTTATCACAGGTAAAATAAGTTTGATTCTAGCATTTCACCACATGGTGACCAGGTGAGTATATTTAAACAAGAAAAGAAAGCAGAGAAATCTTTTCATGTCTTGAGTGTTTAGTGAACATGTTAGTAATTTAATATTTTTAAGACCAATTGAAGCTTGATGCATATGTTGTCAGTATTACAATGAACACCTTTACCTCCCTGGTAATTACCCAATCCTCATTTTAGGCTGAAAAACGAGAAGCAGAACAAGTAGTCAGCTTGACAATCATGAATGCCAAGTGAACGCTGCAGCTAGAAAGCCTTTATTAGCATATGACATGAAAAGACAATGTTGCAATTATAAACAAGGATTTTTGAAAAAAATAAATCGCTTTACTGAGATCTCTCCAAAAAATATCCATACATATGGCCAGGTGAAGCTCTAAGACTTTTGTAAATACAGTAAACAGATATTAGCCAGAAAGAGACATGATAAGCAAGAGTCATAACTAAAAAAAAAAGAAACAAAGCTGTGCTGGATGTTAGGTCCCTAAGGCGAGTGGGAGCCCATGACCTTATCTCACTGAAACGGGATATGAACACAGGCTCATGTGCAAGTTCTGGGTCTCATTTTTAGGGAAAAATAAATATCTGCCCATTATCCCTTAACAAGCTTGCTGTAGAAAGATAACTAATTAGGTATTAATTGCTGAAATGTGTTGGACCAAAAGACGCAGATATCCCAGCCTAGATGTAAACCACAACACAACATGCCAAGCACCCTTTTATGGACAAATACAGACAAGCAAGCTATAAATCTTCTCAAGGAAGGAAAGGCGACAGGCCCAGATGGTATCCCAGCTGAAGCCATCAGGACCAACATAAACACATCAACAGAATTGCCTACATAGATTATTCAGTAAAGTCTGGGAGACCGAAGAAATACCAGCAGACTGGAGAGAAGGATATCTTGTGAAACTACCCAAAAAAGGTGATCTACAGGAGTGTGAAAACTATAGAGGAATTATGTTGCTGTCAGTTCCTGGAAAAATATTAAGTAGAATTATTTTGGAAAGATTAAAAGATGCTATTGATAAAATGCTAAGAGATGAGCAGGCAGGTTTTCGGTCAAACAGATCCTGTACTGATCAGATAGCCACATTACGTATTATAATAGAGCAAAGCATTGAACTGAACTCACCACTTTACATTGGATTTATAGACTATGAAAAAGCATTTGACAGCACCCCTACAAAACAGCTTCATGGAATCGCTGAGATGCTCTTCTGATGGAATCATTAAGATAAATAAATACTTAATGCGAGATCACAGCAGCTTGGTCTGAAAATCCATAAAGGAAAGACAAAGATAATGAGAGTAAATCAGGCAAATGGTAATGTGGTTTCTCTTAATGGCACCCCACTCCAAGACGTGGAGTCGTACACCTATTTAGGCAGTAATGTAGATAAAGATGGAGGAACTGATAGAGATATTAAAATAAGAATACAAAAGGCAAGAGGGGCTTTCATAGCACTAGGGAATTTGTGGAGGTCAAAAGAAATTAAAAGAAATACTAAACTAAAAATTTTTAATTCTAATGTCAAATCAGTACTATTGTATGGGGCGGAAACATGGAGAACAACCAAGGCAATTACTAATAAATTACAGACATTCATTAATTGGTGCCTGCGCAGAATAGAGGGAATAAAATGGTATGATAGAATAACTAATGTAGAACTTTGGGAGAGAACTAAACAGGCTCCAGTGGATCAGGAAGTGAGGAAAAGATGCTGGCGTTGGATAGGGCACACACTGAGAAAACAGGAGAACAGCATAACTAGAATGTCTTTGCATTGGAACCCACAGGGGCATAGGAATAAAGGAAGGCCAAAAAACACATGGAGAAGAGAGCTGGAGAACGAGATTAGAAAGATTGGGAGGACATGGGGAGAGCTCCATGCAATGGCGAAGGATAGAACGACTTTGCGTGAGTTGGTTGAGGGCCTATGCTCCATTGGGGGATAGAAAGGCAAAAGAAGAAGAAGCTAGCTACAGCTCTACCAAAGCTCCTGACTACTTGGATAAGCAGTATTTATTCCTTATCCCTAAAAATAAACAACTGATAAGACATTCGCAATAGCACAAAATGGCATAATGACTGTTTAATCAACATGACAGTCTGGACACATAAGAAAACATCAGTGAACTACCTGTTAGAAAATAAGTGCACAAAGTTTGATGTGATAAACTCACATTCTCTGTTATTACATAAATAAACAAGACCACTAGAATCTGGAGAACCTAATCCCCATGTTAACTAAGATCAGTTATAAAATAAGCCACTGCACCACCCCAACAGGCTAAATAAATAACACAATCACCACATGATTTAATTCGGAGTGGCAAAGGCAAAGGAAACAAATGGCCAGCATGTCAACCTATTTTTTATTAATATTATTAGATTACTTTTGTCCTCTAATAAAAAAAATGTACAATTGTATTATACAGTCATAACATTTTTACGCAGAAAGCAAAATTCTGCTGCAGAACAAATAAAAAACCATTACCTTTTTCAAGTTCCTCAATGGCTTGAGAATACTGTTCTATGGCTTCCCCATATTGTCCACTTCGGAACAGACTGTTTCCTTTCTCCTTCAGATCTGAGACTGCAGATGGTAAGGGCAGCTGTACGAACTGAAGACGTGGTGTGTTACTTTTCCTGCTGGGTGCAGTAGGGTCAGAAGTCACTTGCGATGCTGCCTGTGTTGTTTCTGCTACCGAGTCATTGAGACTGAAAGACACTTTTGGTTTTAATGAGCTGGTTTCCTCCTGTGGTAGTGGTCTTAACGATGAGCTATCATCAGATGTTTCAGCAAATGATAAGGCACTTGTCTTCATAGACAGAGGGACAGCAGATGGCAATGCTGAAGAACTGTCTAGAGCTACTGGGTTATCTTGATGACTGGGTGCATAACTCTGATCTGATTCTACCTTATTATCTTGACAGGTGCCAAAGGATGAAACATTATTGATGGATTCAGTCAGGGCAGATGAAGGAGACTGTTTGGACACCTCACTGGAACTGTAATTTGATTCACACACATTATCAGCATCTGGTTGCTTAAGTTTGGAAGATGGAGATAAAGTGGCATCAGCAACAACTTTGGACTTATCTGTATTGTCTTGTACCCCTTTTTCAGACCCATTTGCTGAAGTCAGACTGTTTGTTTCTTCTTTGTCAACATGACTGATATGTTCCTGCTTCTTGACATCTGATTTGTCAGCTACTGAAGTCAGCCCGTCTATCTTACATTGATCATTATCAGAATTCATTTCCTTTTTCATGTCAGAAACTTCTAATGCTGGAGGCTGAGTGTCTTTCACACATATGTCATCATGGTCATACCCATTCACCATAGGCTTGTCTGCGTCAACTTCTTCAACTGTTTCATTATCATCACTGTCAACTTCTTCTATGACCAACCTTCGTCCTCCCTTCTCTTTTCTTTCTTTCTCGTCCTGGGCCATTTCTTTGTTTACTTCTTTTAACAGATCCTGCATGAGAAATAAATTCAAAATTTTAGAAATTATTACCTAATTAATAAAAAACATGCATTAAATATTTTGTTTCTTTAGTCTAAAATATGCTAACTGTGTTGTCTATCTGTTAGTCTTTTCCAACAGTGCTTTAGCAAGCAGTTGCATTATGTCACATGCACAGATCTTGCATAGCCAACACTTATGTTTTGCTCTCCTTTGCTTATAATGCCACACTTTTATGTTGCCAAAAGTACAGTATATATTGTTCAGGCTCAAGTACTGCTCAAGCATATTATATTATATGCTCAATGCTGTTAGCATAACTACATCTATACCAGGTGCACACACACTCATGTGTGTTAGTGAAAAAGAGAGCGGGTGCACGTGTGTGTGTGTGTGCGCGCGCGCGTGCGTGTCTCTCTTCCTCTCTACATGAGTGATGTGACTAACATTCATTTCCATAAAATAACCTCCACCAGATATCAAATATGCCCTCTGAAACTGTTCTGCTTGTTGAGAAAATAGAAACGTGTATAAACACGAGCATAAATAAAAAGAGGTTCTAGGATCCCTGCAAAATCAGAAACAGATTAATACCAAGCATACAGAAACAAAAAATGTTAATTTACAAATTAAATTAAGGAAGTTTTGAAAAGTGTCACAACAAACTATTTTAAGAAACAAGGCACATATTGTATGGGGGACTAATATGTTTTAATAATTAGGACAGCCTAATATTTGAAATTCACAGAACTAGTGGGAATAAGGATGGGCAATTTTGACTTATGTAAACAAAAGCATCATATAGTTAGTCTGTGGTGGGAGGTGGTACAGGAAAATAAAAGACACTATAGTTTAAGTGTTTCCTTTGAAAGGATTCATTTTTGTGCTCTGCTATATGTTGACATAAATTAAGCCTGTAGTGAGGTACCTAACAAGATGCAGGGAAGTATATCATGTAATAAAATATGCGATATAATGTCTGTGCCATTATTTAAATTCACAAAGAGATAACTTTTTAGTATAATATTTCTTGGACAACGGATAGTTATTTGAAATTATTTTTTTTAATGTTAATGAGCTCATTACAAGTATCATCAAAGGACATTATAGACAGCTTTAGGCGCATTTTTTTTTTGTCATCAAACGTGACTCAAAGATGATATCAGTGGCCTGATGAAAAACGTATGATGCTGTGGTATGCATTTTACAACTCTTATCAAACAAAACATAATGACTAATGTAGAGGCTCAGGACAGAACTAAACAAATTCTGATGAATCAAGAAGTGAGTAAAAGATGTTGGATAGGAAACACACAGAAAACCAGATAATAATATAACTAGAAAGTCTTTGCACTTGAACCCTCAGGGTCAAATGGGAGGAAAAACGCAACTAGAACAAAATGCATGGAAAAATGAATCAGAGAATGAGGTGAAATTACAGCACTGTTGATATGCATGGTAACTGATCAAGCAGCAGCAATACTCACCTCAGCTTTTTTATTATTTGGTTCCAGCTTCAGCACTTTCTCCAGATCCTTGCAGGCTTTCTTGAAGTCATGTTTACTTTTGTAAGCTGTTCCACGTCTCATCAGTGCTGACAAAATTGGAAGAATTTAAATAAGTAACAACAACAACAAATAACTCCTTAATGTTATTTTATCTATGGAAATTTTGTAATTTGTATCAAATAATGTTTTAAAAAAAAAATCTTCACAATGTTTGACAACAGCGGATGATTCAGAATCTAATGATCATGACTTCCTAAATACTACACTGGCACACTTATAACCAATGGCATTTAACTACTCTTTTCATGAACATGTCACTACAGAAGTGGCAACATACCAGCATTTACGGTGCTGTATCACAACTTGAAGTAACCAGATTAAGCATTCTCAGATAGATAAGAATTAAAAGTGAATTAGCAGGCTGTGTCACCGTCCAGCATATACTACATATTCTATTCTACTGCAACCATAAGTGCCAATGTGATTATCATTGAAAAACAAAATATTAACAGTTATGAAGTCCATACCTTTGATATTGTCCACCTCTGTGTTGAGAACACTGTTACAATCACGGATAGCTTTGTCCCATTTTTTCAGCTTCAAATCTACATTTTCATTCAAAAAATTCAATTATTTTTCTCATTTATAATATTCAGAATAATCAATTATTTCTTTTCTTCACATTTAGCAATAATTTGATTTAATGACTTTAAATAAGGGTTATAATTATCTAGATTTTTCCGGTAAGTTTAATTATCTATCCATTTAAAACTTGAATAAGAAAGACAGCTCTCACTGCCAGTTTAAAAGAAACAAAAATAAGTCACCAAGAACAGTAAAAAACCATTTTTATGACAGTGGCATTTGAGGCATATGATGCGATACTCATTTTTACAGACATACCGGCACTCTACAGATGATGTGACCTACATCATGCTGGCCACCTTTACTTCCAAGTAAATTTCCTGCTACCAATTTCAGACACCGCATTACTGAGGTTCTTTAAAAAAAAAATGGGGAACCAACTAAATGTTTGTACACTTGTTCTTTTTATGCCCACAGCCAATATTTTTACTGAGTTATACTGCACAAAAAACAGACAAAAACCATTACCCACATGCTAATGCTCTGTTGTTGTAAGATGCAGCACTGGGCATAAGCGATATACTGCGGGTATAGTAAGTAACAGCTTCTTCAAAGTCCTGGGATTTGAAAGCCTGAAATAGGTCACTAAATATATAAAATATGTTGTGCAATGTATTTATATATACAGTATAAAATGTGTGTTTATACGGTGGATGATTTGTAAAACATCCTTCAAGGACATAACTCCAAACTGTGAGGCAATAATTATCAAATGTAGTGACAATTGATTAGTCACATTTCACTTTATTTATTACTTTTTAATATTTTAACACATTCATTTTTTTTTTTTTTTTTTTAACTTTGCAAAAAATAGTATAAACATTATTACCTACCAAAATATTTTCATACATTTTTTAATTCAAATCAGTACATGAATTCAATATGACACTAATTTTGAAATGCAAGCCAGTGGATATGAACACTAAAAGAACACTGCCCAACAAAATATTATCATCAGCGCTATGCTATCAATGTCAAACATGGACACTGTCTTCAGAAGACAGAAGGAAAAAAGTCAAGACAAAAATGAAATGTTTAAGTGCTATGTTAGGTGTAACAAGGAAAGATTGACTTAGGAATAGTGATATCAGGAGAAGAGTCGACAAAGAACCAATACTGAACTTTTTAGGTGGACAACAAATCAAATGGTTTGGCCATATAAATAAGATTGGCATCAGATAGGGCACCACAGACAGCAATGTTATACATATACAGCGGTAACAGATTAAGAGGTCGACCACGCAGAAGATGCACTACACAAAAATAAGAGACACTGAAAAGTACCTTATACAAAGCGAATAGAAGGGCCCTACTAGAGACCTCTTCCTGCCTGACACTGCAAGGTATTCCAGGAGTAGAGAAAATTAGAAGATGATGATGAATTCAAAATTACCTCATTCCCTTTGTCCTTCTCCCTATTGGCTTTCAGATCTTTCTGCTCCTCAGTCATGCCTATCGAAAGAAGACACAATCATGTTTTACATCAAATATCTTTCTTCTTGTAAAGGTCTCGGTTCACAAACTTACTGTACTAGGTCTCCATTGATCAATCAAGGCCTGTCTCCTCAAAGTTACAGCAACAGATCTTTAACTTTTTCCATCTCTTAGTTTGGTGGTGCATTATGCCAGAATGTGTTCAGCCATTAGGGTAAAGGGAGAAATCAGCTTTAAAAATACCAAATAATGCCCATTTCTTTTTATAACTCTATTTGACTGTGTATATAAAATTGTACCCACATGAGAATATCACTAGACAGATGAGGAGCATTCAGAAAGATTGTGAAAGATTTATGAAATTCACTGACAATATAACTCTTTAATGTCCTTTAAACATATTAATTTTCTCTATTATCTCCATCCACTTTTATTACATTATGCCAATGCGACACAAAGGCATAAATGCCTAGTCAATTGCTTTCCCTTGTCAATTTACTTGTCATTTGTGTTTATATTGTGAAGCTGACTGGCTCTACTGTTTACTTGGTCTCTCTTTTCATATTACCTTCTGCATGCCCCTGGTATCATGGTCTATTTTAGAGAAACAAAAGTTTTCAGTTTTCAACCAAAGATTTAACAGCTGATCTGAAAATATACAGGACGAAAGACAGAACACAAAACTATCAGACCTGATGAGTCTATGTCTAAGGGAACTCCTTTCACTTTTGTTTTTTTGCTCATGCTCTTTTCTTCTACATCAGCTGCCTTAATTTCTGCATCAACATCAAATCTGGAAAATTGCAAAAAGAAAAGTAAACAATTGTCATTCATTTGCTAAACTGTCTCCTCCACACTTAAACAAAGCAGATATACGTACCCATCCAGTACCAATATATACCCAATTTTTTAACTTTCCTAAATTTAGCACAGTCATAACCTAGCATCTATTACAAATGGATATTACGTTAAAAATAAGCAGACCTGCATTTTTGAATACAGAGAGTGATAGTCTTCCATCAACAATCATGGTCTATAAGCATAGGTGAAAGCTTCTCTAATCGAAGTCGAATTACTTTTAGAGTGCTATGAAAGAAATATATCATGAGTTACAACATTAATTTCAAAGGCAACATACATCAATTACACAGGTAAAGAAAATGGTAATTTAAACTAATAAGAGCAATTTGGAATAAAGCATTGAATGTTGTAATTTCCTTATAGTCATCTGTTATTTTATAACTATAATATAGTACTATTATAAAACCTGTTCAAATGGTGTAGTTAAATGCATATGCCTAAATTTACTGTTAACTATAATGAGTTTATTATTGATAATGACATCTTCTGGAGTTTATACACCTCGTAAGTAAAGTTACAACAGGTGGAGATTCTGAAAAAAAAAAGATGTAAAATCAAGAAAAAACAAAGCATTTTCCAGGGCTAACAATGTACAGGAGTCACTGGGAGTCCAGTTTGAAGACAACACTCAGAAGTTACAACAGCATCACTGTGGGAATGCTATCTCACAACAGTGAGCGTTGAAAAATGACAGATGTCACACATAACACACTTCCTACACAACTAATAAGAGTCTGGGGCACCCAACTAACGTTTAATACTTGACCTGACTTGTCAAAAGCATAAGCCATTATCTTAATGCGCTTCATTTTGTCATTATATATTTAAATACTATGTAATTATTTGTACATCACTTTCAAGGGCACCTCACGCTGTTATTAGTTGTAGCATAATATTGCAAAATAATTTTGTAAGAGGTATTTAATTGTGTATGTCCGCTAAATTATATAATAAACAATTTTTTTTTCAGTGCATCTTAAAGAATATTTCCTTTTTGTTAACTTTTTACATAACTTTTTTTTTAATTATCAGTTATAGACTTACTTGTCCCATTCCTTGTAATCACGTGGCAACACTTTCTTCTTCTTTTTCTCGTCTGGTTTCTTTTGCTGTAAAATATGGCATTCGGTCATTTTAAATCACAAAATAAATTAAAACAGAGTTGTGACATCAACATACATTAACTCTTTGAAGACTAATCGCCAGTTAACTGGCTTTTAAATTTATCTCGATGAGACTATTCACCAGTATACTGGCGATTATAGAGACACTTTGATTTTGCTCCGTTTGTGAGAAAAAACGAATTTTTATGAAAATGTTTTGAAAAACTAGGATAAGCAAAAGGAAGTCCTCTTGTTTGTGATGTTCCAATTAGCTTTTGCGTCACTTTCTGATTTTTTTTTAAAATTACTTAGATGTGATACAATTTTGACATGATTTTTCGATACCAAATGATAAGGAAAAGGTCTAGAACTGTTCATACTGCTCTGTTGTTGATGAATCTCTGCTAGATGGTGACAATAGTCTTGATATTATGACTGATATCTAAGTGACAAACCTATTGACGATTATTTAGTTTAAGATAGGAAAATTGAACAAAATTTTTGAATCAGATCATCTGTTTCGATCAGCTGTTTTCCCGATGTTCGGTTGTTGTAAAATCTGACATGTCATACAAAAATGATCATAACATCCAAAGCATTTAACTTGTTTCAAATAAAGACTAGCTGATACATAATTGAACATAGAAAGCAGTGAATTCTTAGAACTGGATAGCAGTGTTGTTGAACCAGTAAAAAAAGTAAGGCAAGCACATAATTTTTTATGTAAATAATCTTTATATGTGTCTAACATCCTGGAATATTGTGTGATTTTAATAATATTTTGTTGTAATACTGACACTTAAATAGTTTGGATTTATTCTGCACTCATTTATCTTTAATTTGATATGTTATATGCCCCAATACATATCAGGCGTAAAGGACTAGACCTATATTTTATAGACCAATCAGCACAAGATGGATGATGTGGTCAGCATCACGCCGGCCGCCTTTACTTCCCGGGACTGCACCCGGTACCCACTCAAGGCTGGGTCGACCTGAGAGATAAATTCATTTTTTTTAAAGTTAGGCTCCGCCAGGGAACGAACCCATGACATTCCAATCCGCAGGCGAGCGTCTAGCTGCGCCGCCACAGTGACTCCCTGACTAATTAGGGTTCCCTGAAATTAGTTGTGCTGGGCAGAAGAATGCAGATATCGCAGCCAAGTTATAAGCAAAAACATATGACAACCACACTTTTAACTCTTTCAGTTTCAAGCAGTTTTTAATTCTTCTTCTGTCATCTCATTAATACCAGGTTTTAGCCGGTGTCATGTATTTTTTTGGTGCTTCTTGTGTGATGGATTTATTCACCTTTTTGCAAGTTTCAGCTACATCATTTATCCATCTCTTTCTTGGTCATCCCTTCGCCTTCCTCCCAGATGTTCTACTGTAAAATATCTCATGGGATTGACCCGGGCTTTTAATTCAACCCCCTTACACTTCAAGGAGTTAAGCTTAGAGCAATATCTAGTGAAGTCTGAAGACATTCAACAGAGACACTATGGGACGGAACTAGTTGAATTAATAATTTAGCTACAAAGGGTTTATATAACATATGTCTTTGATAGAGGTCAGGAAGAACATCATATTACCCTTAAGATGACTTAGGAATGTTTGGTGAGTGGACTAGTACTGAAAGACTTCAGGGTGACACACAGAGGAGAAAAGGATCTGCTCAAAGGAACACAAAGCTAAGTAATTTTCACATTCATTAGTGCTTATCAATACATGTAAATTTGTTTACTGCACTGTTGTAATCTTAGGCGTTGCGAAGCTTTGTAATGGTGGGTTCGATCCCAGTTGCGGGCCTTGCGTTGGTTTTGACAGTGGTATCGAGAAACCGACCGTCCAGAAAGCAATGGCAAACTACTAGACATAATTCTGCCAACCACAACAGCCGAACAATGGTGGGGTTTGTCTACAATGTACTGTAAAGGATAAGCAACTAACTTTCTTTTTTTTTTTTTTTTACTGTCGTAATAACCTCAAAGATATCCCATGGATTTATGCAATGAAGCTAACTGCTCCTATAGCACATCAACACATAGCCATATATGACTAATGCATACTATTATAAAAAGCAAATGTGTCCAAATTGTTTTCTCTGAGAAATGCAAATGCAATTCACTTTTCTATACAGTCGAAGTAATTTTTTTCCTCTTTCTGAATCAATACTGAGCAACATCCTAAATCAGTCATCACCTTTTTCCCTTTCAGAACAATATTCGAGGAACGGACAGGAGGAAGATTTTCATCAACTTCAACAATATCATCCTGATCTTTGGGTACAGCAGCTTTCGCTGGTATGTTCGCATCTTTCTCCTGCATCGAATGTGTCCATGTCTGCAGATAGCAAAAAAATGATCATATTGTCAAAACAACTGTGTTATTAATAAGACAATCAAAAAGCAACACATCATCAAAACATAAATACAGACATTTAAAAAGTGAAAGTTAGGAGGATCGACTTCACTGCACTGGGTTTTCTCCCATATGGCTCTGTCTCTCAAAAGAACAGCTAGCCGCAGACAGTGCCGCAACAAAGTACAGACTCTGTAGCTACAGAAAGGTCTCAGTAAAAATTGTACTTATGAACCAAACATGAAATGAATCCACAACTTTCAGACCATGAAATATTTACAAGCTGAACTATACGTAAATTATGAACACATCTTAATAGCTGTGGACACACAGTGGACATTGCACTGATTTTCCATCTAACACACAAATCTAGGTTCAACCCATAACTAACTCCTGGGATTAACAAATAAATAACTTTAAAAAAAATATACATACACGGATTAGATACAAATGAATCAGCGGGGGACATGAAGATGACAAAGGATAGGAAAGCTCAGTAGGAGTTGAGTGAGGATCTATGCTTACTCTGGTAATAAATAACAAATAAAGATGCTCCGTGCAGAGTGGCAAGTACCGCAACAGAGGTTCTGGATTGTTAGCATCCTTTAGATATTTTCTCCAGGCAATGCCGATGTGGTGGGAAACAAGCAGACAGATAGACTGGCCAGTTCTAAACCACCTGGTGGTGAACAGATGTATGACAAGCTAGATGCTGTGAGGGCCCTTTGGGAGCGAGTGAACAGTGCAGAGGTATAAAAATATCATTAAGACATGAGGAGAATGGCGCTGCAAGGAGTTATCAGGGTATCTGACAGACGCTCAACACTCAAGGGAAAGGTGAGACGGATGTACAATTAGACAGTTACTGGTGCCATCAGAATTGGAACTCTTCACTTGCTGCTGAAGATGGGGATGGAGGGCTAGAGAAGTATCCTGAGTGCTGTGATGTTGATTCTTAATTCAACATTCAAATAAAGATGCCCTGGCTCAACTCATATTTTGTTATAGTTTCCTAATAAAATTAGTAACAGCCCATAAAAATTATCTATAGGCTTTCAATGCATTCCTAACACAAGACAAGACTTAACTAATTTAATCATCTGTTCTATATACATACAACTTCTAGTCTGTCAATATTTCACAAACAAGAAAACAATATATGTAACCTTTAGTTCATCCTCTATGGTTCTCCAATCCCCACTTTCAAGATCACCTGGGCGCAGTATTGGACGTTCTTTATTCAGAACACGGCTATCCATAGAAAAGAAAATAACTTATGAAAAAATTATCATTTAATAATTTAACACTAAATGTTTTAAAAATTACTCATTAACTTGTCAGCAATGCATACTGATGCAGTTTGATGTTGACCACATAATTCGATGAGTGCCAACTGGTCTATATAAAATACAGATCTAGCACCATATGCACTAAACACATGAAGATGCAGAAAATAGTCCTTTTGTGCATACTGATGAAACAGTGTTAAGTCCAATCGAGTCAGTATTATGCTGGCACACCTTTACTTTTCCAATGAAATTATGAACACCAGTGTTATGTGCTTGGGTCAACTTCAGAGCGAAATTCATCAAGTGCCTTTTCAACAGGTTTGGGTGATCATGCCTAGTCTCAACTTGCAATCTTCAGTTTGTCTGCTGACAAAGAGCTGACAAAAATTTGGTTTGTGTGTATGTCTGAGCGTGCCTGTGTGTGTACATGTGTGTGTGTGTTGTTATTGTTATAGTCTTAATCTATCTCTCTTTCTCCAAATCTTTCCAGTCAAGTTTCTTTCTACTCATTAAAAAAGTAAAGTAAAGGTCCCTTTTCCATGCCTTTAGGGAATATAGGGCTAGACCTATATTTTTATAGACCAACTGGCACTAGATGGGTGATGTGGTCAGCAAGAGAGCAAGCCGTAGTGAGCCTGAGAGCAAGTTGCAGTGAGCCTGAGAGCAAGCGGCAGTGAGCCTGAGAGCAAGCGGCAGTGAGCCTGAGAGCAAGTCGCAGTGAGCCTGAGAGCAAGCCGCAGTGAGCCTGAGAGATAGCAGCATTAAGTCTGAGAGCAAGTGACAGTCAGCCTGAGAGCAAGCGGCAGTGAGCCTGAGAGCAAGTCGCAGTAAGCCTGACAGCAAGCCGCAGTGAGCCTGAGAGCAATCGGCAGTGAGCCTGAGAGCAAGCCACAGTCAGCCTGAGAGCAAGTGACAGTCAGCCTGAGAGCAAGTCGCAGTGAGCCTGAGAGCAAGTGACAGTCAGCCTGAGAGCAAGCCGCAGTGAGCCTGAGAGCAAGCCGCAGTGAGCCTGAGAGCAAGTCGCAGTGAGCCTGAGAGCAAGTGACAGTCAGCCTGAGAGCAAGCCACAGTGAGCCTGAGAGCAAGCTGCAGTACGTAAACTTCAAATTTTGTAATGCTATGGGAGGCAAGCTCTAAAAAAATGCCTGAAGATATCTCATTTACTAGGCATATTTAACAAAATAACACAATGTAAACAGCTTTATAATTATATAATACCACTTCAGACTTTTTGTAGTTTTGTTGAATAGTAATGACTCAAACTGAAACAGAGAAAAATTAATAATTTTACAGCATTTATCTTTCATTTTGTTTTCCTGTATTAACAGCGAAAGCGCTTCATACATGGGAATTCAATGGGACAATTCTCTTAGTTCACCATTTACACCGTTGGCCACTTTTCTGATTTCCGAATGGTCTATAGCTGTCATTCTTACTAGGTGGTCTATGAAACAAATTTAAGGTGTCCGTGGAATCACTTACACACAAAAATAAACAATTTTAGCATGCATTCCTTTTTGTGATTCTGTTAACACTTTTCAGTATAATCTTTAATTATGAATTCCCTGACAGACCTTAAAAAATTAGCTAACTGGGAACCACTGCTCTAAATATTATTACTCAGAGGTATACTGTCTGTTGGCAGTCAAGTCAGATGGGTGAACCATTTCATATTATACAATTGTTTTTTAACAGCAGTTCTGTACCTTTTTGGGCTCAGTGCTTCAAGTCTTTTCTCTGCAAACACCTCCAAGTCTGGGAACTTTCCTTCATCTCCAGACCTTAAAAATGAGTGTAAATATAATAGTTATACAGCGTCAACAGTGCTAATAAAAATAACCTCCCAACTATCCATATTTAAATATTTCGGCCAACAGATTAACGTTAGGCATGTCATTTATTCTTAAAAGATTTGTTTTGACTCTCTCCAATGTATGTTTTATATTCTTCTTCTGTATTCAGGCATTTCTTTACTGCATTGTGATCTACAGCTAGGCTGCAATATCTGTGCCTCTCAGCACAACATGTCCATTCTCAGCAAACAATCACGTTTTAACATGCTTATTAAGGTGCCCCCCCCCCCCATAGAAGTATTTTCTTAAATTGCTCGTCATCATGTAGCAGATCCTTTGCAGAATGCCGCTCTCATCATGATCTGCCTGAAAGAAACTCGGTCTCTTATCAGCACTCCTGCTTCACATACTTTTCTACACAAAGTGTCATATGCTATGCCTATCTTCGTGCTGGTCAACCACCACCCCTCTTTCCTAGTATCCTGCATTCTGCTACAATTTTTACCAATCCACTGAGGTGCTTGATATGGCTGAAATATTTCAGTTTCTGAGACACGATGCTGTTTACTATCCAGTCTTCCTTGATGTTTAGTGGTTTTAGGATGTCAGTATGTCTTGTCTTCTTTAAACTACTATAACTGGACAAGAGTTGAATGGGAGTAGGCCATGAGGCAGAAAAAGAAGATGGCAGAGGTATATAATATGAAGACAGACCTATAAACACTTGAGTTACCAACTATCAAAGAGAAGGCCAATCCCAAAGATGAATGGAGATGGGTGATATATGCAGCAATGAACCTCAAAGGCTCAGAATGCTGCAGAAGAGGGTAACCTCGAAGCATGCAGGACATAGCCAAACTTATGCAAACCACCTGTGTATAGTGAATGAAGATGCTCATACAAGTTCTATTCAAACTCTTCTATTTATAGATGTGTACACACACAAATAGTTAAATATCACATCACTTAAATACTGCCTTTCTGATAGCGGAATATTCATCCTTAACATCATTAGCTACTTACAGCATTCAGGCTTAAAAGTGTGGTGGAATGTTGAATTGTGTTTTTATTTACAAATTTTCTTTTAAAACAAACCCCTAACTAGTAGACTTGTAACATTATTTTAAAGGCCTTCCCAGAAACAATTGATTGTCCCTGTGTGTGTTTTTTCCTTCCACCTCTTTGAGCTTCCTAGTCACTTTGCGTTCAGTGAATTCATTGTAAAAGGACAATGGGTCTGTTCTTTTTATCAAGGCACTAATCTGCTACAGTTACAATGGTTGAGACAGCAAAGAGAGTAGCATACTATACCTCAAGACTGCCACAATTTTCTCTAGCTCCTTTACACTGGTACATTTCTCTATGTAGCTGTACTCTAGATGTGACAGAGGCAGGCCATATCTCTTTGTAGTCTGGCCTTCTATGTGCATATTTGAGGTCATTTTACCTGCTGGATTGTTCATACCTTTGATATTAATAAGAGCTAAGAGCACTAACTTCTCAATGAGAATGAAAATTGGTAAAGTCTTGACTGTCACAAGCCAAGACCCACATGCGAGTTACCAATCTTCTTGTGTTGTCTTCCTCTATCTCAGTTTCCATAAATGTTGCCATCTTTCCCATTTCTCTATTTAGCTGTACTCTAGATATGATAGTGACAGGCCATATCTCTTTGTAATCTGGCCTTCTAAGTGCATATTTGAGGTCATTTTACCTGCAGGATTGTTCAGACCTTTGAAAATAATTAATAAGAGCCAAGAGCACTTTCTGAATGAGAATTACAATTGGTTTAGTTTAGACTGTCACTGGCGCAAGCCAAAGCTCACATGTGAGTTACCAATCTTCTTTGTGTTGTCTTTCTCTATCTCACTTCCACAAATCTATCCATGTTCTAGTTTCCCTCTTTTCATAGCATAGCCAAAACATGATGACTGTCTCCTGATGTTTGCGATTAGTTGTCTTCCAGCTCTCACCTTTTTCGAAATATCCACATTACTCACTTTAAGCATTCCTTCTGTAAAACCAACCCTGAAGCCTCAAGAAATAACTCGACTTATTTATTAACTGTTCTGGATTCACAACCATATACTAAACTGGCACCCCTATATACAAGCAAGAAGTATTTTTTTTTCTTGACACCTGACATGACATAAATTTATTGCATAAGATGTTCTTCACTTTACAAAATGCAGTTTTTGCCGGTCCTGTTCTGTCTTTAATCTCTGTAACACAGCTTCAATATTATGCTTTCCATGTGCCTAGACGTTTAAACTTCTGTACTTTTCACAAAATTAAGCAACTGATTTTTATTATACGTTCAGGCAGAGTTTTTTCTTTTACATTACCATTACATTTATCTTCCCATCATTTTAGCTCAGGCCCATTTTCACTTTCCATCACTGTATTTATTTATCATCAACTGTAGTTCTTTCTGACTTGTAGCTATCAAAATGGTTTAGATTAATTTATAAACACCAATCCAAATCTATGGTATTTAGTCCCATTATATACCCCTTTGTATGCTCTCAACTGTTCCTAAATGTTAATTATTACAGCTGCTGATACATATTCTTTATTATTTGCAGATCCTTCCTGTCAATATTTAATTCTTCTCTATTGCTCAGAGCTTAGCAAATGTGTTTAAAAATTGCATGATCCTCGAGTACTGTGGTAAGATTCCTGAAGTATACAGTTTCTAAAACAAAAAAAAACATTTCTTTTGATTTTTGAACAGTTGTATGAGGGTCACACTGTGAAAGAGAATGGGGTTGCACCACGAAAATATTCTTAAAGTCAAAAGTGGCCAAACTTAATGGTGAAGTAGGTACATATTTGTTGTTTTCAATTTTTCTAAGTCATGATTTTCTCATGTTTCACACAGGCAAAGATTGTTTGTAGTTTGTGAAGCGTAAGTACTGATCAGTTTCTATTTCTACAGCTTATTTCTGTCAGTGTCCTAAGGTTGTAATGACCTTATACCTTTTCCTTCTATCAATCCACATAGGGTTTTTTGGGTTGTTGTTTTTTTTTTTAAACTGATATCTGGTTTAATCTTGTTTCTTCTTCTCATAATTATCTGTGTCACATAACTCGCAGGACTTCTTGTGTGATGGTTTTCACATTTCAAAATGACTTCTTCTTCTTCTGTATTCACCTAAAGATGTAACTGTACTGTGTCTGTTTACAGCAGGGCTGTGATATTTGCGCCCTTTGACCAACACATCTGACTCCTGCCGATATTTGTTGACCCGGTTAGTTTTCCCCATTTTTTGATATGATGATTTATTTGACAAAGTTATAAATAAGGATTTATACAAGCCATTACATTAGGAATGTAACCATTATTACAAATGTCAATTTTATTATTTCGACTCCAAAATATTATGATGCTTCAATTTCTTCCAACTCAATCATGTCATTATCGGGTCCGGATGCCCTTCCTTTTTTCATGTAATGCATCAACTTCTGCAGCCTTTACTGATGGGCCTTCACTTTTGTTCTGAAAATCAAAATCTAGATCTGGTCTATCACAATTTTTCTTCTACAAGAATTAGAATAAATTATTGGCATGCCTTCGAACGGCGCCCGTTTGTCCATGGCGACCATAAGGGAGACAATCCAGTTTGTGTACGTTCACATAATGATGTTCCATAATATTTAATATTGCTTAAGGTTTGGGTTAGGCCTAATTCTAACCTTAACCTCAAACAATATTAAATAATATTAATTATTATGATGTGAACTTACACGAAGAATGGATTACGTCCCCTACGGTTGGCAGTTAAAGTAATGTCAAGACTGTCTTCTTAGGCACCGTTCAAAGAAGTCTCAAATTATTCTTTCTAAGTCTTTATTTCTGATTTTCCCCTTAACCTTTTGCATCATGATTTAATTCTTAGCAAAATCTGTTTAACTCAATGAATGTGACTTGACTCATTATGTTAAATGTTTGACAGTGATCATAATGTAAAGCTTCTAATTTATTCCAGATTGCAACAAAACAAACATAGAATTAGAATAGATTTAGTCTGATTTGATTTGCAGAGGAGTTCAGTACAGGGGTGATGTCTCTAAGACTATCGTGTTCAGCAGCCAAGCCTAATGACCGAGTACTATATATTATATTTTGCCTTACCGTCAATCTACTAATACGCTTACTTATTTGACACCCGTACGTGTGTATTGTAGCACTACTCAGAATAATACATTCAGTTTTACTAGGAAATAAAACAACAAAAATCGCCATTCAATGATGAATGATTCATGTTTTGATGTGATGTTCATGTTGTGTGTTTTTAACTGTGTGTTGTCCACTCATTATTTATCGGACGTTTCTGCCAAAATGTTAATGCGTAACTCAGTATGTATGCGCATACAGATATATAAATCAGTATATATAACGCCAATAAAATCTAGGAATGTGTAGACAGACCAACTTGTTTTATGTGCAAATTCTCACGCCGTGGTTTCCAAGGTGGAAGTGACGCCTGCTTCAATCAAAACGAGGTTCTCGCGAGAAGTCTCATCTCAACAAATATGGCCGCGCTCGCCTACCCAGGACGTATTCTGCGTTGCTGTCGGGCTATCTTACCCTGAGAATTGTCCTGCTCAAGTCATATGAATCGATAAATGTAGTTTTTCTGTCTTTGTTATAATTGAAGCATGTTCGTGGAATGTTAAAAGTGTATTTTTACAAATGCAAATCTTTAAACGAAACCGTTTTTTGATGTGCAAAAATCTATATAATTATTTCCATGGAATCCATCCATGTACTGGTGGATAGTTTTGTCTGGTCACAGATCTTTGCTGCTTGAACTTCTCGCCTGAATTGAAGACGTCAGCAGATTATTTAATATTAGATAAATAAAAAATTGTCATCTGAGGTCTGTTCTCACTAGATTGAAAAGCATGTTTCATTGAGACTTCCTTTACGCTAGTGTACTGAGTGTACAGATCACTATACAGCTAATGATAATGATTGGTTTGAGTTTACTAATTAAAATTTATCAGCTGAAAATCATATATAAGTTTTAGTTTTAGAGGATCATAATAATGATAATTAGATGATAATTCATAATTATTATTGATAAAATATCTTTCTTTAATTGTTATATAAAAGTATAGTAGTCATAGTGGATAAAATGAAGACCTCTGGTGTCTCAGTAAAGTCCTTATTACTTATACTTATATTAGTTTTCTTTTGCACAATGTTTCCTATTGGAGCATAGGCCCACGAACTAATGGCATGTTGGCTCTCCATTAAACTACGGCCGGTTAGTCGGAGTTCAGTCTCTTGGCTGCAGTGCAATTACGGAGTGGAAAAGAGGGAAGGAAACAAATGACATAATTACTGTGTGTTGGCGATAGACAGCATGCAGTGCCCTGCTGTCATCATATGGTTTGGATTAGTGTTAGGGGTATGGTTTGGGTTAGGGTAACACATGTAACGTCGAGTACTTACTCATAATGACGGCCGCTATATCTGATAATTTTGACACAGACGAAAATGTGCTGCTTGTGACAGTGGTACCATTGGAATTCTGCACATACCTGCATGTTCCTTATAACTCTATGCTCAGCTAGCCACCGCAACCATGCAAGCTTATCGCTCATTAAGGCATACAGATCCGCAGGTGTCACATCTACGGCCACTAAGTCTTGCGTCGCAAGAAGGCGGTCGCTAATGTGAGTCGCAGCGCGTGGTCTAGCTCTAGCAGCCATGTCGATGGCACTTTGTTTTGTGATTCGTGCCTTCTCCACTCTGTAATTGCACTGTAGCCAGGGGACTGAACTCTGACTAACCGGGCGTAGTTTAAAAGAGAACCGACACGTTTTACCATTTCCTGCAGTTTCGTTCTTCACATATTATTTATACGTCTTTTTCTTCTTCAACATTCTAATCCTTTGAGGCTTATTGCTGCAGATACCACCCACCTCCATTCTTGTCTGTGATTAGCCTTCTCTTTCCTGTTGGATCTTCTTCACATTCACCGGCTGTAAACTATGGCAGAAAGTTCTGTTTGTCCACCTCTGAATTGTAGTCTTGTTCTAGAATTTAAGTTTTGTTTGTACATCTATTTTACAGGTCTGGTCTATTTAATGCAGACTGTTGGTTCCTTGCCTCTTAGGTGGATGCTTTCCAACTTAGAATGAACTCACTTAATTAGTCAGCTGTTACAACTTGCTTGTTAGAGTGGGGGGGGGGGGGGGAAGAGGGTCTGTTATTTTTTTTCTACCGTGTTTCCTCGGAACCCATGCAGGGACTTTCCTGTTGGTGACTGTGTTTGTAGGTCTGTTCATTATCGCTCTACCATCATCTGGGTCAGCCCAGTGGTCTAGGCTCAGTCTTCACTTTTGTGGACACAAATTTTTAATCAGTCTGCTAATTTCTATTTTTTGTTATCTGTCATTCTCTGTATATCTCAACAATTGCAGTCTGTTTTGCAATGCAGCCTTCATATGCCAGTTGTTTATGGTTATTTAAACAGATAATGAATTTCACTTTTGCTTTGCATTGTCCTTTTCCACTATTTTCATCTTTGATTACGTTTTTTTCTCTCACTTATTGTTCGCTGTACTGTTTCTAATTATGTGTTCTGTCTATTTTATTTTCATTCGTTCAATTTGAATTAGCCACGTTCAACCTCTGACTAGAGAGTTAGCCTCGTCGTAGTCAGTTTCAGTTATAATAATGGCAAAAACTGTGTTGCTATTTAATTATGTAGTGTTTGGTGCTAGTATTTTATGTTTTCCATGTATCTGGCCGCCGGCCTGGTCATTTCTATTTCATTGTGCAGGCTTGTATCTGATTAGGTGATCTGTTCCTTATTGTGACATCCGTTGATGGTGTTACTTCCATTAATTAGGCTGTCTCCTGAGCTGTTCATGGTGATTTTGCTGTACCAGTTCTTTGTGTTGTTTTAATGGCTGCCATTGCCGTTGTTTTGCCATTAGGTCCTTAGTTGCCTCCTGGTGACCAGGCTTAGACAGCATTGTTGGTATGTCATCTTCTTCTTCCATATAGCAATGTGAGATGTTCCAAGCTGTCATTCTGTTGCTTGTTTCGAATTTGTTCTGCTGAACCATGAGTATTCTTTTGTACTTTCGTTGAATAATCACTGCTTGATATAATCTGTACACTGCTAGTCTTCGTGCCATTTATCTAAAGTATGTTTGGATCGTTTCACCAGCTCTTTCGTGGTTTCCTTTAGTACAACTGCTCTTCTTCTCTCACCTTGTCTTGGCTTTCCCTTTTTAGTTTGAGTTATTTTCATTTTTCTGTCCCGCTTGGAAGGTCCCATATCCACAATATTGTTCCACAAAATTGTATATTCTTTATTGATCTTATTGGTTCTTTATGTCAGTAAGTAAAGCCACTATTTCTCATGTAAAATTTTTCATCAAAGCTACCTCTTTAACCATTTGACTTTGAACCTCTAGTGTGGTCTTCATGATTTCTCTTGATCTCCTCCACTTCCTGAGTGTCGGAGAACCAGCTTGTTAATGCATGTGATTGTAGCAGTGGTCCTGGAATCCCATGCTCCAGTTGTGGAAGACTTTTCTCAGTGTGAGCAGTTCTTGCTCTTCATCTCACCCTCACCATAGGTTTTTAACCCCATGCCTTCCTATAGCACAGTATAACACTATCACCTGGAAAGGTGCAAACAACAGTTGTGTATGCCTTATAGGGTTCAGCAAAATTACTTTTGTTATACTATTAAGGTTGTCTCATTATGTCGTTCAGATGTTAAGTCTCCTGATTTGCTAACATCTGTCTCAGAAAAATAGCATTATCTGCCTATTGTTGCAATGTTCGCTTCTTGACACCTTACTGATTTAGCAGTATTTGCATAATTTTTTTTTTTGGGGGGGGGGGGGTTGAAAAATGTAACCTAATTTTTAACACAAATCTTAAAATATTTTCAAGAAATGGGGGGGGGGGAGTTGTGTGTCAGCACTTAAGTTTTGAAATTGAAACCAGGTCTAGTACATTTTATACTGATATAATTTTGGTAACTGTCATTTTAATTTCAATAAACGGGATTTTTTTTTTTTTTTGACACACATATGTTTTGAGTTGCTTGAATTTGGTTTCAATGTTTGAGTATGCAAATGAAAGATAGACTGTGTGTGCAGTGCAGATATTATTTTTCAGTTATTGATTTCTTACTGTTTATTAAAGTTAGTTTTTTTCCTATTTAAACAAATATGAGAGCTGATAGTTTGAGAAATTAATTGAAATTTATGTCTGCCGACAGATGTCACTGAAACCAAGAAGAGTTGACTTTGATGCCACATGGAAGTTACTGAAAGAGACCTTGGAAGGTGTTATAACTTGTGGCAGCGTGCAAAGGGTCACTTGGAATGATCGTTTTTCATATCCTTGTACACTGAATTTTCATCACCGTTGTTGTTTTTACGTTTTTGATAATCGTTTTAATTTGCATATTAAAACCAATCCTCACTAACATATTTAAAATATGTGCAAAGCTGGATCAAAGCAGTATTGGTCTTAAAAAGCTAGAAGCTTGCTTTTGGCATGAAGGTGAGAATGCATCCAGACCAAACTGTAAATGAGACTTTTTACAGTAGGAAGGTGAAAGAAAGACCAAGAAAGATATGGATAAATGAGATAGCTGCAACCTGCAAAAAAGATGAGTAAATCCATCACTCTCAAGCCCCCAAATCCATCACTCTCAAGCCCCCAAATCCATCACTCTCAAGCCCCCAAATCCATCACTCTCAAGCCCCCAAATCCATCACTCTCAAGCCCCCAAATCCATCACTCTCAAGCCCCCAAATCCATCACTCTCAAGCCCCCTGAGAAGCGCAAGAAACTTACAGAAAACCATGACACTGGGCTACAACCTGGTATTAGTGAGATGACAAAAGAAAGGAAAAGAAGATAATCAGAACTCAGTGTCAAGGTGATGGATTGTGCATATCTATGGAGCATTGTTTCAGAAGATGGAAGAATTAATAAAGAAATCCATCAAAGATGCAATATAGACAATCAAGTTTGAGGCAATTTTGAAATGCAAACATGTGAATCATTATCATGGCACTCATGCATCTCCACAGATCACAACCCTTGGAACAGCTCTCTTGATGATATCCCTCCATGCCATCATTTCAGCCCATCCAGCTTATTCTCTCTTGATCTGCCTCTGCCCCTCTTTCCACTGAAATTTCCAGTTGTCACGATGTTTTCCAATGCCTATCTTCTTATCACGTGGCCAAAGAACAATGTTTGTCTCCTTCTTATTGTTGAATATAGAGATCTACTTTCATTAGCTTATTTCAAACAATCATTGCTGGTTACTCTGGCTGTTAAGGTATTCGTAACATTTATCTCAGAAACAAGATTTCTGTTGCTTCCAAATTCTTCCTAATTCATTTACATTCCAAGATTTGCTGCCATACAGAAGAACGGATTGTGTGTAACTTTTTAGCACTCTCTTTCTGACATTAAATAAGAGCAATTTATTGATTGCATAAGATATTTTTTCATTTTCTGAAGTGCTGCCTTCATTTGACCTATTCTGCTTTTAATCTCTGTCACACATTTTCCGTCTGATGATAGATTGTTCCCAGATATTTAAATTTATTGACTTTGTTAACTTTTTATCCTTCAATTGAGATATCACAATGGGGTGTCATCTTCTTCTTTGGCAAGAGGATAGGCTTTATTGCACTGAGGTTTGTTTTGTTTTTCCAGAGGACTCGGTCTCTTTCCACAGAACTATAGTTTCAGTGCTCTCCCTCTAATCTTTTTGAAACTTTCAAAGACTCTGTGTCTCAGAAATTTTCCTAGCAAAGATTTTGAAACTGAAATTGATTAAAATGAGGGCTAAACTTACTGTGTGTCAGTTTGTGAAAGCTCACACTTTCCTGTGAAGATTTTTAAAATCTACACTTTTTTTTATAGCTGGATTGAAGTTGGTTTTTGAGGATTTGGAACACATTTTAGGGGAGCCTTTATGAAGTTCACAAACTTATGAATCTTTAACTGCTTCACTGATGTGTACAGACTTTGTACTGCCCTTCCAGAACCTCATGGAGACAATTTATATCAAAGCACCAAAGAGTTCCTTGAAGATCATGTGCGGAACCTTCTATCAGTAAGTCTGTTGTGAGGCTTGGAAGTAGTTACCATATATATAAATATACACGAACATACACTTTTCAAATAAAGATAAACATAACCTTTTATACGAAGTTATGACCAATATTCATTTCGCATCTCAGTCTGTTTCTCTCTCTCTCTCTCTCTCTCTCTCTCTCTCTCTGTCACTCGCTTTCTCTCTCTCTCTCTCTGTCACTCTCTTTCTCTCTCTCTCTCTCTGTCACTCTTTCTGTCTCTCTCTCTCTCTCTCTCTGTTACTCTCTCTTTCTGTCTCTCTGACTGCCTGTGTCTCTTATTCACTCACAGATGCCCGCACGCATACACAAGGATGTACATTTATTGTGCAGAAAGAGTTGTATGAAAATTATACATAAATGCATTTCATATTAAACATGGCATGTGTCTGTTAAAGTCCACAAGTGGTTAATTTGTCTGTAGTTACTGACTAATTGTATTGTTTCCTCCTCAGACCATTATCTCCTCGGGAGAAGAGCATATGCTCGAGCTTTACCATAAACACTGGGAACGCTACAACACTGGTGCAGGCTATCTGAATCAACTTTATGGGTAAGGGTTAGGTACTTTTTTCATTTTATTGTTTACTCTGTCCTATCTTAATGATGAATAATGTCGCTATTTTAAATATAGAATTAATAGTCATAACTTAAGTTAATAATTATTGAACAACCTTACTCTTAAACATTAAAATAACAAGCAAGTTGGGCTAGGTGTAGTTATGAAAATGCAAATGTAACTAAGACAGAGGAAGCAGATGTGATACTTGAGGCAAATAAAGAATACAGGTAGTAGACTAGTTTGCCTATTTATGTAACAGTTTTGATTGCCAAGGAAGCACATAGAAAGAAATTTGTGTATGCACTGGTAAGGCTACATCAGCTTTTAAAATGCCTCAACAAATTATGGAACTTTAAATTATACTGTTTTAAAACAAGTTACAGATTTTCAGTTGTAAAGTTGCTTCAGTTTCAACGTTTTCCATTGAAAGTTAGAGAAGCGCTAAAGATGTGAAACAAAAGATAAATGTATTCAAAACAAATGCCTGAGGAAATTAATGAATATTAAATGAGACAGTGGTGTAGCAACTAGATGCTTGACACCAGACCCAAAGGTGTGGGTTCTATCCGCTTCCAGCCATACTTTTTTTTTTAACAATGACCTTTGGCTCCAAGGTCAATCCAGTCTAAAGTAGGTATTAGATAAACTCCTGGGAAGTAAAGACAGCCAGCATGAGGTCAGCCACATTACACACTAAGTGTTGATTGGTCTGTTAAATGAAGGTCTAGCACTATAAACCCAATAGATGTCGCCCGGCTCGCTAGCAGAGTTGGCTAAACCTGACTTTGCGATGACCGGGTGATGATAGGCACTAGATGACAGGGTGTAAAAAGGGTCCTTCACTTGCTTTTAAATTAAATCAATTCAAGAAAAGTGAAGAAAACAGACAAATGTGTAGTCAGTTGCTAGTACCAACAATTATAAGAGAGGAAAGATGGTGATATATTGGGTACATTCCGAGATGCAGCACACAAGGAACTACAAAACAGATATTGAAGTGGAAAATTTAATTAGGAAGTGGGGACTTCTAAAAGAAAATTATGTCCCGAATGTAATGAGGGAAACCATATGTTCCACCCTGGATTCTATGCACAACATGATGATGATGAAGTTAATGTCGACCTCATTAACCTATTGTTTCAACTGCTATATTGAAACCTAATACCTTGGCATCATGAACCATATTTTTAAAATGATTTTTGTTGTTATATTTGAAGATACCTCAACAATACTTACATCAAGAAGCAGAAGTATTCTGACGCTGATGTGAATTATGGAGTCTTCCCAGTGGATGCTGATTGTCTTCTAGAAATTGGAGAGGTTCTGTCCCTGTTTCTATTTGTATATTGTCACATTTTTTGTATGGGGTAGCAGAGTAGGGTAAACCCTACCAACAGGATAAGTGAGGTGCCTCCTTTCCTCCTCTTAGCCTGCGAGATACCTCATGGGCAGTGCTAAAGTAACCACTTAGCCCTCCACTCAAGGCTTATGTGAAGTCAAGGCAGGCAAGTGATAAATAAAAGTGGTGAGTAGATGAAAAAAGTTTGAGTACTGGTCTTCACTTTAATTGGGCTAGGCAGAGGATGTGTCTATAGGTACATAGGCTAGGACAATCCACCCAGTATGGACACAGCTCTCACGGAAAGAAATTGCAACCTACTGAGATTATTTTGCAAAGAAAAGTCATCTCTGTAGTTTGACATCATGACATTGAGGATCATCTGTGGATAGACATGACTACCAACACCACACGACATGGACTTGTTGAGTAAGATGTTAACATACATTTTTGTAATTGTCATACTCGAGAAGAAAACAATTTGGAGCTCTTTTTAGTGGTTAGTGCACTTGCTTATCAGGAGAATGGTTCCAGTTCAATACCACAATAGTTGCAGGATTCTGGGCTCCAACCAGTAATTTTATAGATTCAGACCAACCTCATCATTTGAGTTTAAAAAAAAAAATATTTTTAATTTCCGGAAATTGTCTTTAAAGGAAAAGCAGCAAATAAAGGAAACTGACCACCTTGTCCCATTGATGTGACCTGGAATGTGTGAACGGCCTAATACATATACCCCCACAGTAGTATCTGCCATATGATTACTCTCACCTTTTTTCTTCATCTGCCTTTCAGTGCCTTATATAGGGCATAAGCCCTTAGCCGTTTAAAGCCATATCTTTTGTAGTCTTGTTAATAATTTGTTGTATGTTGCACTAGTCTGCTATAGGATAGGAGCCAGTCTTAACCAACCCTTATTCCACAGGGATGTGTAATGTCTCCAGATCTTTCTTCCTTCTATAAGGAAACTATTATGTTAAAGATGTGTTGGGAATTAACATGGGAGGATGTAACATCAATAATATAAGTTATGCAGATAATATGGTAATAATTGCAGACAATGACAAAGATCTAGTGTTTAATGGTTACAGTAATAGTTCGCATTGAGAAACTAGGCTTAAAGTTAATTTGTAGGGGGGAAAAACCACAGGAAATTGTTGTCATCACCAAGAAGGAAGAAATTTCAAAGTGTTGAAATGCATGCAAATGGCAAAATTCTCAACCAGGTCAATAGTTACAACTGTTTAGGAACAGTCATAACATCTGATGCAAAATGCCTTGCAGAACTTAGAACTAGAATGGCCATGGCAAAGGTGACCTTTAGCGAGATGCAAAAGATTCTCACCAATAAAAATATGTCACTTGCAGTGAGAAAAAGTGTTAAAGTGTTATGTGGAACCTGTTTTGTTATATGCATGGACAATAAGCAGACAAGTTGAAAACATTTACTCGTGGCAGAGATGTGATTTCTATAAAAAAAAATTAAGAATATAGAAGGATAGAAAAATAAATGAAGCAGTCCGCTTCAAGACAGATGAAAATCATAAACCTATTAGAACAGTTAGACAGTCAATATCTTTTGGATATATGAGAAGGAATGGACTCAAGAACTTGGTAACAACTAGCAAGATTGATGGAAAGAGTGTAGAGGAAGGCAAAGAGAGCAACTACTTGGATGGTCTAGTCAGATGGATGGGGGAGACAAAAACATTAAACTGGTTTATGATTCTAGTGATCGTGTGTGATACGGAAACATGACAGCCTACGCATATCGGCATGGCACATGATAATGATGATGATTATTTTGATTATTCACCTCTTATGACATGCATGGTAGACAGCAGTGGTACAATTCTTTGCTTCCCTTTTAGGGACCTTTACCTTCAGGACATTTTACACCTATCTTGGACATGTGAATAACACAGATGTGAATGGCAAGTATGAAATAGAAATAAAAGGAGATCAGAAATGGTAAAGAAACCTGAACATTAAAAATTAGAATTGTCAGATGTCATATACACACCCAACCCTTCTGTGTGGGGTAAAAACATTTACAGTGAAAAAGCAGCTTGCACAATGAGTTGAATCAGTGGAGATCTGGATATATAGAAGAATAGGCTGGTTTTCACAGGGACAAAAACAATCGAATACATAGGCTCTGTAGAGACTGGAAAATAGAAGATAGTTGCTCGTCAACGGCTCTTTGTATTAGGAGAATTTTTTTTTTTTTACTTGTAAGGTTCTACAGTCAGCCAGTGAAATGAGCACTTAAGAATTTCAGGTGTGCATCTTCTTGGTAGAAAATGTCTTTATTTATCTTTATTTTTCTAAATTTGTAGCTTGCAAAAGACATATGGAAGAACCTGATGATTGATTCAATCAAAGGCAGGCTTGTTGTCCTCATATTGCAGGAAATTGCCAAGTATGTATGCCCTTTGTTTTGTATTTTATGTTTCACTTTAACCCTTTCATTGCTGAAGATATAATTTTACATCTGCCTCGTAGACTGCTAAAGGCATAATTCTGCATCTTCCATTTTCTTTTCCCTCACTGCTAAAGATGTAAAAACATGATTTTGACTCTTCTTACAGATTGCTAAGGACCATAATTCTCAGGGGTAAAATGACAATACACATTACCTAATTCTGATCAGATTTACCCATTTACATACAATTAATCTTTTTCCCTGCTCAGGGCATTATTTTTTTTTTTACTAATTTTGAATTAAGAATTGACATCACAGCACTCGGGACACCTCCTTAAGCACTCCATTCCCATCTTCAGCAGCAAGCGAAGAGTTAAAATTCTGATGGTACTAATAACTGATTGTATATCCATCTCGCCTTTTCCTTGAGTGTCGAGTGTCAGCCAGATCCCCTTGTAACTCCTCGCAGTGCCATTCTCCTCAGACCATAATGATCTGTCTGAGCCTCGGCACTGAACACTCGCTCCCAGAGGGCTCTCACAACATCCAGCTTGTCATACATCAGTTCACCACCAAGTGGTGCAGAACCGGCCAGTCTCATTTCCCAACACACCGGCATAACCTGGAGAAAATTTCCAAAGGATGCTAACTATCCGGGACCTTTGAAGTGATGCTTGCCACTCTGCACGGAGCATGCGTTTCTCCACCTTCCTCAACATGCTCTGTGAGTCAGTCAATGACAGCATGTGTGTACAGCTGATTCTTAAGCCAGCGGAAGGCAGCAGTGACTGCCTCTACCTCCATTCTCAAACTAGACGTGATATCAAATGCCAGCCTTTGTTGTAACAAGCGACGTCCATTTGCCTTCGCTGTAAACCCCCATGCACTTTGTCTGCCCCTCAACACAGAGTCATCTGTATAGATAATCACATCACCTGGGTAGGAATTTTCATAAATCCTTTGTTGAACTTCTGATTCTGCAGCACCAGCTGGCCAGTCGCTGCACTCACATCCCAGAGTGATTAGAGCCCTACACGTCTGAAACCTGATCGGACATTTTGACCCACTCCTCTCCTCGCCTAAATATATTAAGCCTGCATAAATTATATTACTGTAATGATAAGCAACATAAAAAAAGGCTAGCTTAACTGATGAGCAAATGATAGTGATAATATGTTTACCTCTCTTTAATTTTTTTTTCTTTTTAACTATTTCAGAAGTACATTATTTATGTTAAACTGGTTATTCTTGTATGTTGAAAATGTAAAATATCTTAACAAGATTTTCTATGTGCATTTTGTCAGAGACAGAAATGGTTATGATGTTAACCAAACAGTGATTCATAGTGTTGTAACATCGTTCGTCGATGTATCAGAATACAAGAAAAAGACACCGCTTGAAGTAAGTCAGATGTTCTTTCTTTGTTCTCATATCGGGTATTTTTTGTTTGCACATATTTTCTGTCTTCATGTCCTGGAGGTACCAGACTGTTTTCAACAAATATTTTGGCTCCCAGATTGACACAGCTCTGAGTGGGTGCCAGGAACAGTCCTAGAAATTAAGGCCACTGGCATGATGCTGGCCACATCACCCACCAAGTGCCAATAGATCTATAAAGTATAGGTCTAGCCCTATATGCCCAATACATCTAAGGGTGTGGAAAAGGGTCCTTTACTTTCCTAACATATTTTCTGCCACTTTTCGAAACTGTTTTTTTTAAATATATTTTTTCATTTTTTTTTTTTTAATTTTAAAATCATCACCCTGTAAATTTCCATGAGCTTCATGTATGTACCAACATGCATGAAAGGTTTTTGAAGTGGTATGCATTTTGTAAATTTGTATTCAGTGTGGTTAAAAGATCCATGGTAGGTACTGCCTTCAGGGTGTGAAATGTTAACTTTCATATATTCTAGGTCATTGCATAATAAGCTTCAGTGGCCAGTTTTGTTCTTTGCTGCCTTTCCTTCCCAGAAGTTACTGATAATTATCCAGTACTCATTTTGTGATGCTAGGTCCACACTGAGACTACTAGTCAGAATTGTGTGATGCTAGGTCCACACTGAGACTACTAGTCAGAATTTTGTGATACTGGGTCCACACTGAGACTACTAGTCAGAATTGTGTGATGCTGGGTCCACACTGAGACTACTAGTCAGAATTTTGTGATACTGGGTCCACACTGAGACTACTAGTCAGAATTGTGTGATACTGGGTCCACATTGAGACTACTAGTCAGAATTGTGTGATGTTGGGTCCACACTGAGACTACTAGTCAGAATTGTGTGATGCTGGGTCCACACTGAGACTACTAGTCAGGATTGTGTGATGCTGGGTCCACACTGAGACTACTAGTCAGAATTGTGTGATGCTAGGTCCACACTGAGACTACTAGTCAGAATTTTGTGATGCTAGGTCCACACTGAGACTACTAGTCAGAATTTTGTGATACTGGGTCCACACTGAGACTACTAGTCAGAATTATGTGATACTGGGTCCACACTGAGACTACTAGTCAGAATTATGTGATGCTAGGTCCACACTGAGACTACTAGTCAGAATTATGTGATGCTAGTTCCACACTGAGACTACTAGTCAGAATTGTGTGATGCTAGGTCCACACTGAGACTACTAGTCAGAATTGTGTGATGCTGGGTCCACACTGAGACTACTAGTCAGGATTGTGTGATGCTGGGTCCACACTGAGACTACTAGTCAGAATTGTGTGATGCTAGGTCCACACTGAGACTACTAGTCAGAATTTTGTGATGCTAGGTCCACACTGAGACTACTAGTCAGAATTGTGTGATGCTGGGTCCACACTGAGACTACTAGTCAGAATTGTGTGATGCTGGGTCCACACTGAGACTACTAGTCAGAATTGTGTGATGCTGGGTCCACACTGAGACTACTAGTCAGAATTGTGTGATGCTGGGTCCACACTGAGACTACTAGTCAGAATTGTGTGATGCTAGGTCCACACTGAGTCCGTACTAGTCAGAAAAAACTATTTCTGCCACTGTTAGGGGATTGACCAATTTCTTGTAAATAGGTTAACCAACTGCTGTACAACCAGTGATGACTTTTACCTGCTGGTACACAGCTCCAGATTTATGGGAACAGTATGCCATGGGCCATCTTGCATGGATGGGGGAAATCAGGAGGTTAATGGGGATGAAGGAGGAAATGGGAAATGATTACAGAATGATTAAGAGTTGAGCATCTGAAAAGAAGAATTTTAAATACATATGCTCACAATAATGGCCTTGAAATCTCATGCTCTGTTTGTGAAAGACGTGTCTCAAACCGAGCCGGTTCTGCTAGTCACTGTTGCTATCGTCATGGGCTGCAATTCCCATGCCTCCCTGTAGTACATTATAACATTGTCGGCTAGAAATATGGAAAGATGCTAACGTAACAGCTCCAGGCATGTAACACACCCTAGGAATAATACAATACTTTTTTTTAAAAATACAATTGACTCCAATAAAGTGCAGTGACAGACATTGTGGTACATATATATATTTAATACACAATTAATTTTCGCTTTCTAACTGCAGAATATGGTAACGTATGTGCATGCATGCTGTTTAATCTCCTTTGGGCTGCTGCCTGAAAAGTTTGGCAACCTGAGATCAAAAAATAGCAAACAGGACCTGAAGGTTTGACACCGTAAGACTAAAAAAGGTGTCAGTGCTGGTGGCAGACCAACAGGGTAACATTGACACCCCCTGTTCAGCCTCCAAGAAAGTTAGAATTAAGGCACCAATAAGGGGCACACCAACCCGGCCTGACCTGTCGTCCTCAGCGAGTAAGAATGTAAATTTATGTGATAACTTTTGTGTTTTGCAGCTATATCAAGAGATATTTGAGGCACAGTTTCTGAAAGAAACGGGCGAGTTTTATAGACATGAAGCTGCTCGTTTGAAAGCTGAGTGTACATGCTCAGATTACTTAGAAAAGGTTAGTGAAGCAGCATGTCAGTTATGTTTTGTTGGAGTATCATGTTTTATTGGAATGTCATGTTTTGTTAGAAAAGAATGCTTATTGTAACCATCACACTTGCATTAGTAGAGCTGCTTAAGAAAGCATGTATGCATATTATTAAATAAAGGATTGCATCGTAAGAGGATTAGTAGAGAATGAATGAAAATAATGCTCAGATTAAAAAAATTAATATAATGAATTAGTTCACTGTTCTAAAAAATATGAACTGTCTATTTTGTTTGTGTGTGTGTAAACACAGGCAATCAGGAGGTAGTTAGCAATACAAGTGAAAAAATAACATGGAGAGATGGATAGACAACAGTCTTTCAGAGTGTTCAACCAAAGTGAGAGACAGAAAGTGTTAGAGTTCTATTGCAGCAGCCTCTATTATAGGGATAGCACTTCATTGATTTATTAAGTTAAAATTCAACCAATGTTGGGAGGGCCCTTTGCGAGCGAGTAAACAGTGTGGAGGCACAAATAGATCTTTACAATCTGAGGGGGGATCTGGCGACACTGAACACTCAAAGGAAAGGCGTGATGGATGTACGATCAGACAGATACTGGTACCATTGGAATTGGAACTCTTTGCTTGCTGCTGAGGATGGGGACAGTGCACTTATGGGGAGTGTCCAGAGTGCCATGATGTCAATTCCTAATTCAACATTTAACATTTAAAATTAAACTTGAGGAAAATAATGCAAGCTTAGAACCAGTGCACACTGACACTACAGCATAACTAGAACAGGGTAAAAGAAAATAAAAAAAAACCTTTTTGTTTTATGCCAGTGGCAAATTAGGCATGTGACGCTAGATTTATATTTTTATAGACCCATTGGGGATGTGGTCATCATCACTCTAGTTGCCTTTACTTCGTGTGACATCTGGTAAATTTTTCAGGCTGGGTTGAACCAAGGCCAGTTTTGAAAGAAAAAAAAAAACAGAAAAACGGCCATGGAGCAGAATCGAACCCAGGACCTTTAGACCGGCCAGCAAGCTTCAAGCCACTATGCACTATGCCACCACTAGAATAGCCTTTGATAAAATAATTCAGTCACATAAACATAAAAGATGTTTCTTCATAAGTACTGAGGATGTAATGATTTTTGAAAAGTAATAATGAAACAACAAATCACTGTTATCAGGTAAAGTAATCTTCTGAAGTGCCTGTCTTTGACATTGTTAGAAGAGTGGCTACAGTGTTGCCGAATGTCAGATTCATTCTCATTACTTTTCGGACTTGCCTTCTTGTATTATTCTGTTCCTGACATCAATAGCTATTTCTTCCATTAATCCATGCTGTGCAGTGTTGGCAGTCATGTCTTTCCACATTCTTCTCATGTACCTTCAGTTTTTTTCAACAGATGATCCTAAATGCTAAACTGTCCAGTATTTTCTAGCTAAACCTCCTTCTGCCTGTCCTCTCCTAAAACATTTTTTGATGGCTATTAATACCCATTCCGGTCGAAATGGACCTTAAGAGTAGCCACTGTTTTGAGCTGGGGCAAATTTTTTGCTTCTGCCAGACGGTGGCCGTTGCATTTTTGCTCCATTTGTAGACTGAAAGGATATAGTTTTGTTGCCCAGCTTCTGAGTTGAGTGCATGGTGTGACACTGTGAGCTGCAGATTTCATTTGGAATGTTTTTCGACTGTGACCAGTGTGGTGGCGTGAATTGTAGATTCAGAAAATGAAGAGATGCCGGTTGTCACAATATTGATGGTGCCATTATTGATTAAAATTGATCATGTGTGCAACTGATGATCTATTGGTGACTTCTGCTAGTGCTACAATCCATGATAAACTGCTTTATAATGTCGGACTGTCGTGTTAGCACTTCGGATGGCTATCGTATGCTTTTAATGCGTGTGTATGCTAGTGCATATGCTAGACAGCAGTCTGTCAGTCTTTCCACAAGGGACTGTGATAAACATTCTGTGTGTTTTTCGTTGGCACAGGAGAGGAGCAACTATGGGGTGACCCGTTTGCTATGAAGCTGAAACTAACATTACCAGATTACCCATTACTTATAACTTGTTTATTTCATGATCTGTTGCTTTGTTTAATTTTATTGTGATGCAAGATCTCACTATCATTCCATTCAGAACGATGATTTCCCATTTTATACAAACAGAAAAGAAAATTACAGTAAAGCCTTCTTAATGTGAATACGAAGGGGGAAAAAAATTGAGTTCGTGTTTTAAAAACATGTGTGCTGACCTGTGACTAATAACAATATTACATCCTTGCTGGTACAAAAATTTTGTTTTTTAACTTAATGTTCTTCTTAAATGAGTTTGTGTTAATGAGGTTTTATTTATTTTAATACTTTAAGGTTATACAGAGGCTAGACAATGAGAACTTCAGGAGTCGGAAGTTCCTTCATAGTACCTCTTACGCAAAGGTAACACAAGAGGTCCAGGCTAGGATGGTCGCAGATATAATAGATTTCTTACATGGGGAGTGCAAAGAAATGGTTGAACAGGAAAAAAGAAAAGGTGGGTTGGAAAAAAAAAAAAATTAGGATTGCCAGTTTTTATGAAAAATTTGCTGATCATTGAATTCTCCTTAGTGATGAAGATTCAGATGTGAGTCTCTTCTTTCTTTATCTCTTCCTTTATGTATTTTCTTTTTGTGTGTGTGTGTGTGTGTGTATGCATGCATCACATAGATGTGCTGTTTATTAGTTTAGTTTTAAATAAATGGTTGCTGTTGAATAATGGAAAACATGCTAGCTACAATAGGTACAGAACTTATAAAGATCTTTACAGATAAATTTCCTGACTTGCTCTACATTAGAAACAGTTGTTATGCATCAGGTGATTGTGTGTAATCTTGTATTTATATATCCACAGAAGAAAAACATTCTATTTTTGTGGATACCTTCTCGTCGCTCAATTGAATGAACCTAAATCCCAGAAATAAAAGCTCTCTTTAAGTGACCTCTTTAATAATTACTGTCATTCTCAGTTTTGATCACTAATAGCAAACTAGAAATGAAAACAAAAGAGTAAAGGACCCTTTTCCACGCCTTTCAGGCATATTGGGTATATAGGGCTAGACCAGAGGCACAAGATGGGTAATGTGGTCACCATCACGCTGGCTGCCTTTACTTCCCAGGACTGCCCCTGGTACCCACTCAAGGCTGGGTCGACCTGGGAGACAAAGACTCCCTGTGAGAGAGAGAGGGAACCACTTTTAATAAAATATATGTAACATTCTCACATGGTTGTAGTATTTGGGCTTTTTGCATAGTAAATATAATTCTTAGTTATTTTATTGAATAAAGAAATTATTAAATATAATTCATTCTGAAAGAACTGAGGTGATTTTCTTACAAAGTATCAGGCCTTCTGCTATTATTTTTTCCAGTCCGCCATAACGCTTGAAATGACCAAAATATTTCAGTTTCTGAGACAATATGCTGTTTATTAGCCAATCTTCCTTGATGTTCAGATGTTTTAAAAGATGTAAATACCACCCTAATTAGAGCACACTGGGGTGTCTTCTTAACCTGGCAGTGTAATGCAAAACAGAAATGGAAAAGACAAAATAGAGGAAGAAGGGAAATAAGGAAGCAAAACAGAAGTCATAAAATGCTTTTTTTTTTTTTTTTTTAGAAACTTGTACCAACTGTATGACTACTACTAACATTCTTTTCTAGTAAGTGTACAAAAATTGAAATGAATTTGAGAATTGAGGTGTAACTTTTTTGTATCTTTTCTGTTAATTTTAGACCTTACCAACTTGTACATATTGCTAAAGCCAATTCATAAAGGTCTGGACACGCTGGTGAAGGAAGTCGAAACTCACATCAAACAGCAGGGAATGCAGTCTGTTCTCAGCCTTCAGAATGATCCAGCAGTGAGTACTTAAACATCAGCTCATGTGTTTTATTGATTTATATGTGGTTATTCTAGGTTGTGTCTGTTCTAGGTTGTATCCATTTTAGATCCAAACCTGCCCAATTTGTAGCCATGACCTAAATTTTCAGGTTCAAAAACCCTCTCCCCTCCCTCACGTCTTACACCATCTTAGAAAGTAGTTCTTGTGGCAGTGTAGACAGCAAATGTGTTTTAACTCTCCCAGGGAAAATAGAAGATTGATAAGTTACGTACTATTTGAAAATACTTTTACTTAACCTAAGAGGCTAACCCAGTCAACAAATACCTGCAGAGGTCAGATGTGTCCGCTGAAAGATGCAAATATTGCAGTCATGCTGTAAACGGGCACAATAAATTACATCTTCGGATAAACGCAGAAGAAGAAAAAAAAAAAAAAATACTCTTACTTTATTCATTAACTATAATGTTTACAAGAAATAGACACACGAGGAAAGCATTTAGTGTGAGGTCCTATTTTAAAAATTTGATATGGGCACCAGATTTCACTACCAGCTTCTCAAGCTAAACAGGAATTGTGTCCACTGATTTCACCTGGAAGTCTTATGGAATGGAAAGACATAACTTCTCCTATTTGCTGTTCAGGTTCTTCCCTTATCTGTGGATTAGTCAGAAACAGATAGAAGCAGATTTAAATTTATGTATGCCATGTGTACTTGTGGACTGGCACCTGAAACAACAGATCACATCCTTCAAGACTGTCCCAGATTCAACGCTTTCAGGCAAAACCTTTGGCCAAAAGAGATACTTGTGGAAGTCAAACTTTACGGGCCGCTTAGTGAATTACAAAAGACAGTGAAATTCATACTAGAGACAGCTTTGCAGATATAGACAATTTATTTCATGCGAACGAAAGAAGAAGAAATTTATGTATTATGTTCTCATGCATTAAAGATCAAACTTACAAATTTGAGACAAAAATTCCCCAGAAATAAGTAATGTATAAGTATTTTAAAATAGTGAGTTACTTTTCAGTCACCTTGTACTTTTAACTGTGTCTGTCAAAGAATGTGTACTTATTAAAATAATGTTTCTCTGGGACATGAGGATTTTAACCTTAGTTAGTTAAATTAGTTAAGATCCCTTAATACGCCTAAGGCGCATCAGGTATATGGGCAGAGCGTCCCATATTTTTACAGACCAACCAGCACTCGGTGGGTAATGTAGTCAGCATTACGCCGGCCGTCTTTACTTCCCCAGGACAGCCATCCTGGTACCCATTTGAGGCTGGGTCGACCTGAGACGTCCAATACCACGAAAAAAATCCATGCAGCCCGCAGTGGGTTTCGATCGCGGTATGTTGGATTACGAGTCGGACTCGCAACGCCTTAGCCATGGACGCCGCGATTTTAACCTCAAGTTTACTTTAAGTTGCAGTTAGTTTATGATGAGTTAATATAGCAGTGAGGGAAAGAAATGGTTAAACTCTATCAGTTGTAGACTTAACAGTCAAATACAGTGAGTTGCAGTGTACACAGGTGTAGGAAGAAAAGTCATTGGATAGCCTTTTTATTTCTAGATTGTAGAGTGAGAGAACCTAAAATATGAAAACTTTAACAGTCAGAATATTTATCAAGTAACTAAAATTGGAAATCAAGAAAACTTAGCCGAAAGCAGAAACATTTTAATCTGAACATCATGAAAAAAATTTTTAAAATTATAAAAACCGTTGATGGTCAGGGGGCAAACAGAAGTTCCAAGAATGCTTTCATAAAATCATTAGAATTACAGGTATAGAGAAAAATAGAAATAGCTTAAGCTCAGAGAGTAAAATATGCATAAGTAATTACAAAGTAAAGAAATCATTAGAAGTTTGCAGTGATGAGATTCTCTATTTCACAATGAGATTAATATATATTTTCTTATACTTGTGAAGCATATTACAGATAACGATGTGAGATTTTTCTTTTATCAGATTATTTATCTGTTATGTTATGGATTGTCTGTTTTACAATGCTTGGAATATTTCATATCAGAAAATTTCATGTGAACAATTTTTCAGTTCGTTGAAGCCATGTTGAAGGTGTACCACAAGTTTAAGGAGTTAATTTGTGATGTCTTCAGTAATGACCAAGTTTTTACTGGTGCCTTGGATAAAGTGAGTACTCTTGTTTTGAGATCGGATAAATAAAATCAATTTTAATTGCACATAAAAATGACCATTTGCCTTGCATTCACCAGCTCAGGTATTTTAGTGACTGCTCATGCAGGGTTACAGTCTGAAAAGAGGAAGCTGAAGACACAATTAGACGTGTGTGCAGGCCTGATACATTTAGGCGAGTAGAAGAGTGGGTCAGAGTGTCTGAGCAAGAACCAGGCTTTTATAGGGTTCTAATCACTTTAGGTCATGAGTGCAGGGACTGGCCAGCTGATGCTGCAGAATCAGAAGTTCAGCAAATAATTCATGACAACTCTCACCCAGGTGATGTGATACAGATGGCTCTGTGATGAGAGGCAGAGTGCTTGTGGGCTCATAGCAAAAGCGAATGGACATCCCAAATGCAATAAAACCTGACATATGATATCACAGCGACTAGTTTGAGAATGGAGTTGGAGGCATTTACTGCTATCTTCCGCTGGATTGAGACTCAGCTGTACACACGTCGTAATTGACTAACAGAGTATGTTGAGAAAGGTGGAGATAGGGATGCTCCATGCAGAATGGCAAGCATTGCTTCATAGGTTCCGCGACGTGTTGGAAAACTAGCAGGCAGATAGACTGGTCAGTTCTACACCACTTGGTGATGAATTGGTGTATGACAAGCGAGATCTTATGAGCGCCTTTTGGGAGTCAGGGAACAATGCAGAGGCACAAATAGATAATAACGGACAGGAGAATGGCGCTGCGTGGAGTTTCTAGTAATCTGGCCGATACTCAACATTCAAGGCAAAGGCGAGACCGATATACATCTCAGACAATTACTGGTGCCATCAGAATAGGAACGCTTCACTTGCTGCTAAAGATGGGGACGGAACGTTGTGATATAGATTCTTAATTCTGAAAGAAATAGGACAGCCTGTAAGAATACATTATAAATATTTGCTTTTATTGACATAGCAACAAAAATATTCAAATGTACACTTCTTACACAGTGATTGTGTAGACTATAAAAGATATTGATTTGCCTTGTGAACTATTGTGTGCTAAAATTTGTTTCCTCAGGCATGTTCTGCTGTGATAAACCATAAACCCCAGAATTCACGGACACCCAATAGATCTCCAGAACTGGTAAATATCACTTTCAGTATTTACCATTGCTTACATGCACACACAAAGACATGCACAGATGCACATGGTTATATTTTTGGTCAGATCAATCTGATCTTATCTTATGAAGCTGTCTTTACATATTAAGTTATTAACCCTCTTAGCACGGACGGGCCGATTATCGGCCGGCGGATGTCTAGCCAAAAACACGGAACGGCCGATGATCGGCCCGATCGTGTTTCGCCTCGAACCGCTAAGAAATCTCCTACTTTGAAACACTGAAAGTGATTCATTTATATTAACTGCGGTATCAGCTTTACACATGGCGACTTTCGAGTGTTTGGTATCGAAGTGAAAATTGTTGTTGAATTTTTTAGATAGTGACCTGAACCGCTAAAAGTATGTCTGACTCGTATGTTTCTGCCCCTAAACTTGATGTTGATAAAACATTTGAATCAAGTGATGACACTAATTCTGTTGATACTGATGCAGGATTTAGTGTTAGTAGTAATAGTTGGAATCAGATGGGGACGCTGTTGTGTTCAGACCACAGCCCAACCATGGCTCAGGGTATATCCACCCGAAGGTGTTGACACTCCGGCACATCCATTTCTAGTGCTGACTGATGGTGAAAAACACATGTCACCTACAGATATTATTGCTGTTTCACATATATATACCTGTTTTTGACTATTGAATTGCTTACAACATTTGTAAAAAGGCCAAAGATCAATAAAAAGATTTCAAATAAAAAAAATTTTTGTTTTTAGTTTTATGTTTCAAGCATTGAAGTTGAAAATTCAAATTCATATTTTTTATTTTTAGATATGCAAATGAGATAATTTGCATATACATCAATTAATTTTAACGATATTGTGAAAATCACGAACTTCAATCTATATCCTTCAAATAGATATATTATTTCATAGGGGTCAGAATAACAGAAATCTGTCAAAAAAATTAAATAAAGTAATAACCAAATTCACTGAAAAAATGCTCCGTGTTTTTGGCTAGACCTCTGAAAAACTTCCCGTGCTAAAAGGGTTAAAGGCAATAGAATTTACTGACTGTTGACCCTTACAAATTAAGTCAAAACATGTATAACTGTTTACAGAGGCAGCATAATTTTGTACCCCTATATATAAGCCATCTGGTATGTATGTTTTTTTTTTTTAAATTCACTTCCATAATTATGTGGTGCAGAGAAAATATAGTGAGGTTGTTTCTACATTGCGCCTACTAAGGGTGTTTTTAGTTCATGTTTTCTATTTCTTCTTTTTCTTAGTGTTTACCAGCTGTAAATTCAGGCGAAAAAATCTGGCTTATTTATTTGCAGACTGTTAGTTCCTAACCTCTTTCGAATGAAACACACCAAATTAGATTTAAAATGGCTGAAGTAGCTAGGCAGTAATGCAGAATGAAGTGATTTTTGTTAGTCATCTTTTTTTTGACATTTTGAATCTTTTTTTTTTATGCCCTCATCCATCAGTGCAACATAGACTATTAACCAGCTTTTGCTATTACATCACCCCATGTCCTCCCCTATCTTTTTAACTTCACTGTCTAGTTCTCTTAGGCGTGATGGAGTTTTTTTTCTTCCAAAATTTACAAAAGTTGAATTGGAATTGTAAGGAACAAAATAGTTTTATTTGCCAATTTTGAAATGTTTAGTTTATGAGACTCTAACATGTATTAACTTTATGCAAACTTTGTAAGGATAGCCCCTTGTGATGTTTTATCAGCCTTATCGTGATTTATCATTACAGCTGGCAAAATACTGTGACAGTTTACTCAAGAAAAGTACTAAAGGAGTTGGAGATGTAGAGCTTGATGAAAAATTGTCTGGCAGCATAATCATTTTCAAGTACCTTGATGATAAAGATGTCTTTCAAAGGGTAAATCCATATTTTGCTGTGCAGTTTGTGTTGGTGTGTTACTATATGTACCTCTAACCTGTTCTCCTGATTTCTTGGGTAGTGGGATCAGCACATTACAAGTTTCTTGACAGTCAGAAATTATATAAAGGGATGCATAAAGCTGCTACCCTTACACAGTTGTTTAAATAGAAAATATAAAAAAACTACCCCTGGGTGGATTAATTTCAAAACCCTGAACATATGTCTATAGGAAGTAAACTTTACACAAATTCTTGTGGGTTGAGTTGCCCATTCTTTGCTGAATATTGATAAATAGTGGATACACTAAATATTTGACTGCTAAATTTACTTCTTTTTCGATGTATCACATGAATAGAGTGTTCCTAAAGGTTTTGTTATAGTTTTTCTCACATCGTAGTACATGGGGCATTTCGAAGGTAAGGCCCCCCACCTTTTTCCCCTCAGCAAGTAATGAATGAAAGTATAAATACAAAATTATGCACATTTAAAATGTAATATTTTAGTATTTAATGTGCGAAATAACAGCTCATTTTGGAGAAAAAAAATACGGTGCATTCTATATCTATCTGTTGTCTTTCTCTGCTTAATGCTGTTAGGCATCGCAGGCACAGCTAATGGTTGGTTTCTTGAATAACACGAGCTCATTGGCTTGCTTCTATCTAAAGTCCATGCTGTGTGCCATTGGTAGTCATGTTTATTCACAACCTTCTGTCTAGTGTACTTTCAGTCGACTCTGCTACAGTTGATCCTCCATGCCGTGACGTGAAACGTACTCTGCCTCTCCTCCCCTCCAGCTTTCCTACTGTCACAATGTATTCCAGTTTTCTCCTTTTCATCACATGACCAAAGAATGTAAGCTATAGTTCGTTCAACAATTGATAAACACACATACAAGCCATTTTCCCGAAAACTGCCTGATATATCACAATGATTTTTTGCATGCAGCCTTAGAATATCCATGACGTTAGGGAAATATTGTTTTCACTAAAGAAAAATATAATGTGTAGTTTCTTTCTTCTTTACGATATACATTTTTTTCCCATGAAACTGTCTTGGTAGACTTTTAGAAGGTTTACTTTCATAAGTTTCAGGAAGTAATGCACACTATGACTGGTTAAACAATGGTTCAAAGAAAATATGTAATTTCCTGATTTTCTCATGCAGATTCACATGAATATGTTCCTGTAGTTGTTCGGTTTTACTGTAGAATATGCATTGATCATCGGTAAAAAGCAGTTTGTTTAGGTAGTTTGGTTGGTCGTTAGATGATGCTTTGTCTTCTATTTTGATGATAAATTCCATATAAATAATGAAGAACAAGGGTGATAGAACATATCCTTGCCCACTTGGATGTTACTAGAAACCTATCTCTGGTTCCAGCTTGTTCTTTTGGCACTTCCACTTCTACAATACATGGCTTTTATACAGCCTAACAATGTACTATTCATTAAACTTAAAATAAAGATGAAGACAGTGTTCATTAGGAAACAGCGTGAGCATTCAAAACTGTTTGTTGTTTTTTAAAGTTGTTCAGTTGATAGTAGTGCCATTGGTCACTGAATCCAGAGTGTTAAAGCATCAGAAAATGGAGAGTCAAACCTGAAAACATTATCTTTGCTCTGAAATAAATGCCTTCATGAACAGGAAAACTGTATGCAGGCAAAATATACCTGCACTTGTTTCACTTTGCATGTAGTCATAGACTGGACTGGCATTATATATATATCTCTTGTGTAAAAGACATAATGAGTTATGTTGTCAGTGAATTTAATACTTTCGCACTATCATTTTGCGAGAAAATGCCTCTCATGTTTTTGATAGTTATGGTGTATTGCATTATGTTCCAGTTCTATTCTCGAATGCTGGCAAAGCGTCTGATCTACAGCCAGTCTGCCAGTATGGATGCAGAGGAGAGCATGATAACAAGGTTAAAGGTTGGTAAAGTTTCGGTCTGTGTGGTGTTCTCTTGAATCTATTCATATGTTTCAGAATAATTTAATAATTGAAAGCTTATTGACAAGTCAACCCAATAAATGATTCTTTATAGTTTCCATGAAAAAAATAAATACAATTGTGCATTAAGTATGTCCTACAAAATATTATATATTCAAATATATTCTTTCAAGGGCATAATCAAGTGGCATAATACATGTCATTAGCAGAATTTATACAGGAAAATGCAATTTTAACAGTTTCTTGACCAGTAAAAAGTTGATTCCATATCCTTTTTAGCTATTCAAGTAAATTCACCTGGAGGCCAAAATTTTGAAAATTGGGATTGTCACAGGCAAGAGGCCTAAGCCGCAGCATAGACAGATCATACAATACCTTTGGTAGTGATCCGCGGGCCACTTGCTATGCCTCTGTAGGCCCGATTTGGCCCATGCGCTGTCACTTGAATAACCATTTTACAGTTGTTGCAAACCATTCTGAGTATTTATTGACATGTGGTTTTATTAGGCAATTAAATATCCAGTAATTTGCCAATGCCTGACAAATAGTCCTTGTCAAAAGAAGTGCCAGGTGGTCTGCTGCCAAATTCCCTGCACCTGAATTGAAACCCATATCTGAGAATAAGGAAATTATTTTAACTCACAGCACTGATATTTGACAAGTAAAAAGTTAGTTGCATATCCTATACAGGACGTTGCTGAACCAGTTCCAGCATTTATTGGCTGTTGTGGTTTTTCTAGGCAAATTTTATGTTCAGTAGTTTGCCATTTCTTACTGAACGGTCAGTTCTCGGTACCACTGTCGAAACCAGCACAAGACAAGCCATCCGCAGCTGAGATCGAACCTGGAATTGCGAAGCGCGTTCGCAAGGCCTAAGTCACAGATACCGACCATGTGACAAGTAAAGCAGCTTGAAATACAAGCATTTGTTGAAATATAGCTCCTAACGTGTAATCAACAAACTGTATGGACAGACCCAGGCTTTTAAACTAAATTTTACTGGTGAAATATGAGACTGGTAGAATATGAGACTGGTAGAATATGAGATTGCAAGACAATGTTATGGAGATATTTCTTTGAATAGAAATATTTTAGAAAATGGAGGGATGAGAGAAGTGAAGTGAGGAAATATTAGAAGCTAAGTTAACTAGCAATACACATAAAGACAAGTAGAAAATAGTTTGAAGGGAAATTGATAACAAGTACTACTATAGGTATCAAAAGGAATAGGATTTGTAATATATTTTACTGACATAAAATATTTTAAAAAACACATATATAAAAAACACAACTAACTTGTATACATTTGTGTAGACACACATAAACTCACTGATTCTTGTGTTTGTCTGCAGCAAGCATGTGGGTATGAGTTCACAAACAAGCTTCATAGAATGTTCACGGATGTCAGTGTCAGTGTGGACCATGTAACCGATTTCAACAATTACCTGAAAGAGAAGAAGGAGAATTTGGGAATCAGTTTCAACATTTTAGTCTTTCAGGTTAGTCCCATTGGAAGGGAGGTCCACTGAGATATGTTGCTGACATGAATATAGTTTGTAGTGTCAGTGTGGACCATGTAACCGATTTCAACAATTACCTGAAAGAGAAGAAGGAGAATTTGGGAATCAGTTTCAACATATTAGTCTTTCAGGTTAGTCCCATTGGAGGGGAGGTCCACTGAGATATGTTGCTGACATGAATATAGTTTGTAGTGTCAGTGTGGACCATGAACCGATTTCAACAATTACCTGAAAGAGAATAAGGAGAATTTGGGAATCAGTTTCAACATATTAGTCTTTCAGGTTAGTCCCATTGGATTGGAGGTCCACTGAGATATGTTGCTGACATGAATATAGTCAGTTTCAAGAGCTGGTCATTAAGTTCCATCAGTGTATTTTTTAAATAAGTTGGGAAGCAAAGCAGTTAGTGGGTCTTATGTCCTTCAGCGCTGACTGGCATTATTAGGGAGAATAGAAAGAGGTAGATAAAGATTATAATTGGTCACAAAGCTAGATTTATGGTAGAAAAAGTTTGAAGGTGAATCATAATCATACCACCACAAATGTTGGGTTGGAATTCCCATTGAGTTAGATTTTTTTTTTTTTTTAGTTACCAAGCTAGCAGAATATACGAAACATAAAAACAGTATTGAAAGGCAGCAATAGCTTTTACAAGTCTGAATAAAATATAGAACTCAACATATTTTCAATAATTTGTTACTGTTTATTTTTTTTCTTTGATTTTCATGTATGCCAGTGATAGTTTGATGAAAACTAAAGGCACAGAATGACAGTTAAATGCATTTGAAAGCAAATGCTAATGAAATTAATAAATATTAAATGTGATGGACTGAAGAAAGGTAAAGAAAAAAGAAACATTTTCTGTACAGCCAATGATTTCAACAGTGATATAATGAGTACATGAGTAAAGGACCCTTTTCCATGTCTTCACATGTATTGGGCATATAGGGCTAGCTAGACCTTTATTTTATAGACCCTTCGGCACTTGGTGGGTGATGTGGTCAACATCACACGGTCGCCTTTACTTCCCAGGACTGCACCTGGTACCCGATTTAAGGCTGGGTTGACCTGGGAGCCACTTGATAAAACAAGGAAGCTGGAAATATATTAGGCACATCCTGAGAAGTAAACAGAGAATCACCAGGTGAACAGAGAATCACCAGGTGAACGGAGAATCACCAGGTGAACAAAGAATCACCAGGTGAACAAAGAATCACCAGGTGGGCGGGTGTGTGGGAAATAGGCCCAATTTTTGTCTAGCATACGTGCTGAAAAGGTGACTAATTCAGGATTATTTTCCTGTGAAGTCGGAGTATGTCTGCTGAGTGTTGAGGAACCAGTAGTCTGCACCAGTGAGTGGTGAATTGATACATGACAAGGCAGATGTGGTCAAGGCCCTTTATGAACAAGTAACGAAGTCAGAAGAGATGCTGGATTGGTATGGCCTATAGAGAATGATGCCTGGTTGGCACACTACACTCAGAGAAAGGGCAAGATGGACATACAGCCAAATTAGTATTAGAACTCTAGTCTGGCTGCTGAAGATGGGGACGGAACACAGATGGGAATGCCCCGAGTGCTGTGATGTCAATTCTTGACTCAACTCAGTAGTCTGCATACAAATAAGCCAGATCTGTTAAAACGAAGTTTTAGAACAAGACAGAAGCCCAGAAATTGACGAACAGCCAATATTTGCAACTGGTGAACACTAGGAATAAGAAGAATAGTCTCAAATGACAGCAAGTAACAGATCAGCTTACAGGACGAATAACCTAGGGAGAGTTTGGAATAACTTTTGTTGTGTAAGTTTTATGATTTTTCCTTTAGGATAACGCTGCTTCAGGCCCAGCAACCAGGCAGTGGACTAAAATCTTCAACAACAGCAAAACTGATGTAGCAAGTTTATAGAAAATAAGACAGGCGGTTCTGCTACCTTATGAGTTTAAACTCAAAAATGCCAGTGGCAAGAGCATAGAACTGAAAATGAAAATGCCATGAGGCGGAGGAAGACATAAAAGAATATGAAATTTAAGAGATCTAAAAGAGGATAAAATGACGGAAAAATGACCTAAAAGAGGATGAAATGGAGATCTAAAAGAGGATGAAATGGAGGAAAGAAGATCTAAAAGATGATGAAATGAAGGAAAGGAGACCTAAAAGAGGATGAAATGGAGACCTAAAAGAGGATAAAATAAAGATCTAAAAGAGGATGAAATGAAGGAAAAATACTAAATGGAGACCACAAAGAGGATGAAGTGAAGGGAAAGAAAACTTAAAAGAAGATGAAATTGAGACCTGAAAGAAGTTAAAATGAAAGAAAGACGACCTAAAAGAAGATGAAATTGAGACCTGAAAGAAGTTAAAATGAAGGAAAGACGACCTAAAAGAAGATGAAATGAAGGAGACCTAAAAAAAAAAAGATGAAATAAATCATCACTGACAGCTTACGACCTCACAACATCACAGCATACAAAGCAACCTAGTGTGCCCTGCCTTGACTAGGTGTCATCCGTTAAAATGTGACGGCTGACAGCACAAAGCAGATACCAAACAAAGAAAGAAGAAAATGATTTCTCCACATATCATCATTCTGTTTCATATTTTGTATCTCATTTGTTGGTGAACACCGTCACACTTTGGTTTCGGTTTCACAAATGTCATTATTGACTGTGTTGTTGGTTACATTGTGTCTCTCAAACTACTTGTCTCTGCAGGCTGGTGCTTGGCCTATTACACAGCAGAATAACATCACATTTCACATACCACAACAGCTAGAAAAGAGTGTGCATTTGGTAAGTATTTGTTGTTTAATATTGTCTGATTTCTGAAAGATAGGCTGACATTTAATGGCCCCAACTGGCAACTATCGTTGCACACACCCCCCCCCCCCCACCCCCCTCCTCCCCACACACCCCAAACAAGCATGTCATAAAAGTCGACTGATTAGGAGTGTTTCCTTTGAAGTCAGAGTGCATCTGCCTGAGAGACAAGGAACTACCAGTCTGCATACAGATAAGCCAGATTTGTAAAATGGATGTGTATGCAAACTCCAAGACCAAAGTCCAGAAGTTGATGAACAACCAGAACTTTCCACCAAAGTTTACAGCTGGTGAATGCTAAGAAGGAGGACTCTTTAAAAATGTCCAAAAATTTTTATTTAAACGAAACTTCTAAGGTAATATCGGTACTGTTGAATTTGTATTTGCTTTCATAAAGAAACAAGACACAAAAGTCTGTTTTTTTGTTTTCATAACTGTTAAAGCTGAAAATCAGGATTTTTAAATGTACAAAGGATTTAATTTCAAAATTGCTTGACCCCTTTTTCTAGGGCGGAGACCACTGCTCTTGGCTATATATAATATACTCGTAAAATATCTGTAGCACATGGTAACTCTTGTATTAAACAGTTTAGAAAATTTTATATGTCATTAAGATTTGATCACACAAGTAAAGTAAGTCAGTTCCCCCCCCCCCCCCCCCCCTTTTTTTTTTAAAACACTTTTTGTCCTGAAATGTTTACCTTTATGTTTGTCCCATTTTCTTTATTTCTTTTAGTTTGAAGAATTCTACAGCAAAAAGTATAGTGGAAGAAAGTTAACGTGGATGCAGTCTCTAAGTAATGGTAAGTACATTTATTTTCTTTGACACAAAGATAATGTGTGGATTGCCAGAAGGATTACTCTTTTGTAACTGAAAGTATTGGTGCTGTAACTTATACAGGTTAGTTTGCAAAAGTGTTCAAGTTATTGAAATACACGTCTCTCATTACATGGGCTTTTTTCCCTCAAATATCTAATATTTAGTAAAGTAAGGGACCCTTGTCCACACTTTGAGGGCACATAGGGGTAGACCTATCTTTTAAAGACCAATCGGCACTTTTTGTTTGATGTGGTCAGCAACACCCAGGACTTTACCTGGTACCCACTTAAGGCTGGGTCAGCATGGAAGCCAAGGTCATTTTTGAAACAAGTCTGGCTCCATCAGGACCCAAACCCATGACCTTTCGATCCGCAGGCGAGCGTCTAGCCGCTACACACGGTGGCTCCCTGAATACTTAGTATTAACTTGTATATTTAACAGTTGTTGTAATATTGTTGTTAATAATGGCTCCTCTAAACTACTAAGTGACTAAGCATAAATTCTGTATCCTGAGCTACTACTAGCTACACAGTTTTGACTGAGCCTGTATTTAATTGAGCATGCAGTTATTCTTATAGTTACACCTCGATGATGTAAATGGTGGAAGAGAAGAACAACAGCAACAACATTTTTGCTAAATATATACGCTTACCAACACAACAGTTACTTACTTAGTCGTTCCTCTTCTACCTTGGGATGTAGAGGTTTGCCAGAGATATCACCAGACTTCTCCATCAGCAGTTTTCTTTCTGGCTTTTTTTCCATTTCAGTCCTCTGTCAGTCAGGGACTGTTGGATATTGCCTTCCCAGCGAATGCTGGGTCACCCTGGAGGTCTGGTTTCCTGATTCTTAACCTCCCATGCCTGCCATGGTGGCCGATTTTCCCCCATTCTGCATACATGTCCAAACATTCATAACTGTGACTGATCTCTTCAAGTTTGTATGGCCTGGGTTTCAAGATCTTGACATATTTTCCAATTGTGAACTTTGTTCCTTCTTGTCACTTCATCCACTTTTCTCAGATATTTTATTTCTGAAGCCTGAAGCTGGCTTCTGTGAGCTACACTCAGAGCCAAGATTCTTAATTTTCCTTCTCCCCTATTACCTCGTTTTCCTTCCCTCGTATGTTCCATCTTCTGTAAATCGTAGTCCATAAGCCATGTTAGTTCATCACCATTAAGATCTCTCTGGTTTTATTGCAGTAGTTTGTAATCATAGTTTAAAGCAAACAGGTGATTGCCTGTTATGCCTTTGCATGGTGGAGCAGTTGCCCACTACTTCTGGAGATGCATGAAGCACTCAGGTTCAGCCAGACCCTCCTCCTTTTACAGCCGGGCTTGGGACCAGTCTTAGCAGAGTTATCAACACAGCAGTTCTGGTTTCAATTTCCAACAGTCTTGATGTTTACTAACTTCAGTTCTTGGTAGTTTCAATATTTATTAATCCTTCGGTCTCCAGTATTGAAATAAAATTTAAAAAACAGGCATTAAAATGTGAAACAAATAGATTGATAAACGAAGATATCCAAAAGAAATTGTGCATGAATGTTGATAAAAGAATAATGAGGTACCAGACAAGACTCCATACATGGTGTTGAAACTACCGCACATGATAGAAAGGAATGAATTCCTCAGTTTCATTCTCAATGAATTAATAGTCTGATTCGATAGTCTAGTTCAAGTGTGACCTTCTAGGAAGTTTGAAAACACTGTCACTGGTCCAGCAGACCGATAGTGGCTTACTTAGTGCTCGTAGAAAATAAAGAGATCCTACAACCAACTAAAATGAAAGGGACAGTAATCAAGAATATCAAGAAAGTATCAAAATTGATGAACACCAGTTAAAGCAGGCGAACGATTTTACATATCTGGGGAGCATTTTTTCCGAAGACAGAAGGATTAATAAAGAAATCCAGCAAAGATGCAATAGAGCCAATCAAGTTTTAGGCCAAATGGCACCAATTTTGAAATGCAAGCATGTGAATATGAACACTAAAAGAACACTTCAACACAACATTCTTAGCAGTACTATGCTGTCAGTGTCAGATATGGATACTGTCTTCAAAAGACAGAAGGACAATAGTAATGACAGAAATAAAATGTTTGCGTACTATGCTAGGTGTAACGAGGAAAGATAGACTTAGGAACGATGATATCAGGAGGAGAGTCGGCACAGAACCAATACTGAACTTTATAGGTAGACAACAAATCAAATGGTTTAGCCATGTAATAGAATTGGCATCTGACAGGAACTAGAGAGCAGTGTTATGCAAATGCAGTGGTAACAGTCCAGAGGTCGGCCACACCGAAGGTGGACAGCGGAAATATCAGACACACTGAAAAGTATTTTATGTGAAGCAAACAGAAGGGCCTGTTCCAGAGACCTCTTCCTGCCCTAACGCCGCAAGACATTCCAGGAGTAGAGAAAATAAGAAGAAAGGAATTAGTTAATCAACTGCAAATTCTGTGTGATTTTTTTAATGGCACAACAGCATGATAGTGAGGCTTCATTAACTGTCCAGTCCTAGAAGTTCTGTGATTTATGCTCCACCTAATTCAACTCTTTATTTGTATTAATACTTATAAAGCTCTATCTTATCCTTAACTCCAGTTGAAATGAAACTCTGCTACCTGAAGAAGTCCTACATTGTGACGATGAGCACATTCCAGATGGCAACATTACTTCCCTTCGAGTCCGCCAACTCTTTAGCCTTCTCAGATATCCAGACCAGCACGAATCTGCCAGAGAAGGAACTTGCCAAACAGTTGCAGACGCTAGTCGACACCAAAATCTTGATTACAGATAATGTGAGTGATGTATTATACACTACAATGGCAGTTTCGTTCATCCACCTTTCGTAAGACCACCTTTTAAGAGTGAATGCAGGAGTATTTTATTAAATTGTCATTGTCATTTTGATTTTATAAACTATACTCTTACTGACCACCTTTTAGGAGTTAATGCAAAAGTATTTTATTAAATTATCATTGTCATTTTGATCATTCAAATGATCCAAAGGTTTCCAAAGTAACTGGTATTGCCCTTTGGTGGGCTGCGGAAAATCTGAGGGTGTGGTGAGGTGATGAATGTGCTGTAGACTTAATGTCAAGAAGAAGAAAAATAAGGGGTTTCATTTTACAAAAAAAAAGACACCAACAGTGTATTGCATAATTATTGCCTGGTGTATTTTGATTGACCTCATAAGAAATGTAAGATTTAATTAAACAGAGTGAAGCAAGAAAAGGAGTCCTTTGAACTGAAATACATTTACTTGTTTCATGTGTTGAATTCTGTAATTTGCACTTGACTAAAAAAAGTGAAATATGTCAGACAATAAATTGATCCATCTTCCATGTTCACATTTACTAGGGAAAAACATTATTGTGAACTAGTCTCTTGAAACATTTTAATTTTATTAACATTTGTTCATGCGTCAGTTTTAGAAATACTTTTCAAAGTCAGAATAAAATGTGTTTTTCATGTCTTCTGTACACTTGTCTCTTTTATATAACATCTTTCTCTTCCAGAATGCAGTCACAGAAGAGTCTGTACTTAAATTAAATTTGGCTTACAACAACAAGCGAACAAAGTTTAAAATTGTGGCTGCAATACAGAAAGAAACACCACAGGTATGTGATTGGATTGGCATTTCCATTAATTGCAGAAGTGGGTTGCTTTTTTTTAATAATCTTTTCTGTTATAAAATGGCTCTGGGTTCACTACTCAGTATGCCTGACTTAAACGTGAACAGTCTGTCACAGAAGTCACTGTCCCTTATGAGAAATTGACATAGACTGCAGTCTCAGCAAAGCTAATAGCGTACGCGCTAAATACACATGGCAGCCAACAGTCGTGCCAGCACAAACAGTCCGACACTAGAAAGGGTGTAGAAATCTAGTTTTTCATCGATCAGTTGTTGCACTGGTAATTAATCGCATGATACGACCAGTTATTTTTGGCAACAAGCTGCTTGCCATTTTCTGTACCTGCAGTTCACAGTACAGACCACATTGGGCACAGCCGAAAAGCATTTCAGATAAAAGATGAGTGTTTATGTGTGCATTTAAAGTAAATGCATGTGCATATGTGTATGCATGTGTTTGTAAATACATCAGGTTGTGTGTGATCATTGTCTGTGTGTTCACATGAGTGTGTTTGTTTATATATAAAAAAAATTGTAATGACGTTATTCATGATATTTGATTACCATATTTCTCCAAGTGTAAGACAATCCCATGTATAAGATGGACATTGATTTTGGGTACTGGAAGTTTGGGGACAAAATTATAATTACATAAAGTTATTGAAATCACTTTTTATTCATCATGCAATCCAGAAAACTTATCACAGTCTAAACTCTTCTCCATAGGATAATTCTTTAGCTTGTCCTGTCTGATGACAAATCACTGTCTTCATATACAGGCTGTATTGCCTCATCCTCATTTCCACCTGAGACATTTGAAATGCCACACTTCTTGAATGATCTGACAATGATCTCAATCTAACACTATCCCAGAATCTTTTTACCCAGGTACAAACGTCTCATGTAGTTGGTTTTTTCACACTACCTGCTGGTGTCAAATTGTCCCCCAGAAGACTTCATCTATTGCTTCCATTTGTCTGTCATGGCAAGGTTTTATATCACCCCTGAACTGGCATACCCAGATAAGGCCTTGCACTGGATATTTTCCAACAAATCATTTGGTAAAAACCTTTTACCATTGAATAAGGTGCACGCCGTTTTAGACATTATATTTTTTGGAAAATACATGTATCTTATATTTGGGGAAATACTGTAATTTTAACCAACATCTTGTATTGTAACCTGCCCCTTTGATACACACCCCTTCTAAACATGCTTGTATGGATGTTTCTTTAGGAGGTGGAAAGTACGCACTCATCTGTGGATGAGGACCGGAAACTCTACCTGCAGGCAGCCATTGTCCGGATCATGAAAGCCAGAAAGTCTATCAGGCATATCAACCTTGTTCACGAGGTCAGTATTTACCAAAGCTTTGTCTGTGGCTTAGAGTTTAGTGGATGCGTTTCACATTTTCACAATCCTTAGTGTTCTGGGGTTCACTTTTTACGGCGCAAGGTTTTTAAAAACTGTTCATGTGGCATGCAGACAGAGGTGCAAGAGTCGCACTGTAGAAAGGATTGGTGCCTCACCACATAATAGTCCCAAAGACAGCACTGCAGATGGCACGCGGTTGTTTGGTAGTACCTTTATTAGGCATGGATGTGACAGAGTCACTGAAGTATTCCTCCATGCGGGAGCCACCTGTCGTTACATCATCCAGAACAGAATGGGAGTGGTTAGCCTAAAAACACTTGGTGACATAGGAGAAGATCAGAACACTTATGGTCACAGGTGATGAAGATGACCTGTAATTGAACAATGAACAGTTATGAAGTATGGAGTCTGTGGCAGACCTTTGAAAATAACAGCAGTTCTCAGGTCTTAGCTAATTTCGAACCACTGGTCTAGACATTGAATGGCATAAAAATACTATCACTTGATGGATAACAGTTACTGTAAGCATGTGCCTTATACAAGATGTGAAATACCTTTTTTTAAATAGTGTGTGTGTGTATGTGTCTTCTTCTTCTTTCATTTTTCTTCTTTTCTCTGCTCCTAAATGCTCAAGGTCAGGGCAGGAAGAGATCTCTGGAACGGGCCTTTTGTTCACTTTGCATAAAGAACTTTTCAGTGTCTCTGATATTTCTGCGATCCATCTTCTGCGTGGTCAACCTCTGGATCTGTTACTGCTGTAGCTGTATATCAGCTTGTTTGTCATTACAGTACTCATGTATCTATGCAGTAAAATTTGAATATAATGTGAGGTATTCTTGTGAATCTTGCAGGTAATAAGTCAAGCACGCAATCGGTTCACCCCAAGTATTCCCATGATCAAGAAGAGTATTGAAACTTTGATAGAGAAGGCCTACCTGGAACGTATCACCGGAACGACAGATGAATACAGCTACATTGCATAGTCGACGCTTTGTCATGTTAGTTTCTCACCATGCCTGTGCCAGAGGTCATTAAACAGCTGAAGCTCATCATTTCATTGTTTCTGTCTCACAAATCCAGGATTAGATGGTTGTGTTGGAAATCTGTAGTCTGAAATGATTGCATTAGTTTAACTGTACTGAAGCATTGTTTTTCTTCCATCTGGGGTTGTAGAGATTTGTTTATCAAGTTGCTTTTGTGGATTGTAGCTGTATATGTAAAGTACATAAAATATGAATAAAGTGGCTGCACAGTTATAAGGAATTAATGGGTACTTATAGGGAATTAGTGTTTACACATAGGGAATGAGTTGTTTGTTACAGGCTCAGAATTACTATGTAAAGTACTGTTTACACTTACAGAATAAGTTACTGTGTGTAGAGAATCAATGGTTTAATGTGTGTCTAGAATCAGTGATCACATGCAAGGAATGAGTTGTTTGTTACATCTATTAAATTAATGGTTACACTTAACAGAATCAGTTACTGTGTGTGCAGAATCAGTGGTTTGTTACATGTTACATGTAAGGAATCTGTGTTTTCATGAGAGAATTAGAGACTGCAAGTGGAGAATCAGTAGTTGGTTACACAAGCCTGTAACATTTACAGAAGACTCACAGTGTGTGTCAGCCAGCCTGCCGACCCACATAACAGATAACAGTAATGTGTTGCATGTAAGGAATGAGTTGTTTTTTACATATATTATAATAAGAGTTACATTACAGGATCAGTGCGTACATGTAGAGAACAGGTTATTACATGTAAGGAATCAATGGTTTTATGAGGGAATTGGTGGTTACATGTAGAGAATTGTTTATTACATGTAAGGAATCCATGGTTTCGTGAGGGAATTGGTGGTTACATGTAGAGAATTGTTTATTACATGTAAGGAATCCATGGTTCCATGAGGGAATTGGTGGTTACATGTAGAGAATTGTTTATTACATATAAGGAATCCATGGTTCCGTGAGGGAATTGGTGGTTACATGTAGAGAATTGTTTATTACATGTAAGGAATCCATGGTTCCATGAGGGAATTGGTGGTTACATGTAGAGAATTGTTTATTACATGTAAGGAATCCATGGTTTCGTGAGGAAATTGGTGGTTACATGTAGAGAATTGTTTATTACATGTAAGGAATCAATGGTTTCATGAGGGAATTGGTGGTTACATGTAGAGGATCAGTAGTTGGTTACACAAGCATGTAACATTTATAGAAGTTACACAGTGTGAACATTTGAACAGGCTAAGTTCAACATGCAGAAGATAAAACATGAAAATAAATACTACTAAAATTAAAGTAATCCAGGTCAGCAGAATTCCTAGTCCACTACATATCAGGTTGAATGGTACTTGTCTAAAGCAAGTTAAAGAATTTAAACATCTAGGAAGTATATTCTTAGAGGACAAGAGAATACATGGGGAAATAAAAACGAGATGCCAACGAGCAACTGCACTTATGTACCAACTGACAACGTTATTAAGACATCCAAACATAAGTATGAGCGCCAAGAAACAGATTATAAACAGCATATTCATAGCAACACTGTGCTACCAGTGCCAGACTTGGACATTTTCAAAGGCTAACCTACATAAAATTAACACCTGTGAAATGAGGTGCCTGAGGAAAGCCGCCAACTTAACCATCCGAGACAAAGAAATGATATTATCAGACAGACTGTGGGAACAACATCGTGCAGCAGCTTCATTGAGAAACAGAAGTCAGATGGTTTGATCATTTAGTAAGAATGCAGTGAGAACAACTACCAACACAGGCGCTACGCATTAAAAGATCTGAAGTAAAAGCAAGAAGCCACCCTAGGAGAAGATGGATTGATGACATTAAAGAGCTTCTACATTGACACGGAATGACAATAGCCATTGCTGCCCATCAGGCAATGAATCGCAAACTGTTCCTCCCCATGACCCTGGTGAATATGATAACATAATGTGAGGAGCCAGCCTACCAACCAACATAACAGATAACAGTTTCTCTTAGAAGAAACTTAATTACTTTAATGATGTTGATGGTGGTGATTATCTGTATGTGAGGACACGCCACCATCTGTTATCAGGGGATTACTGGCCTCATCTGAGAGTATGGTGATCATGTGAAATGGGGAGCAACGATGGCCTGCGCATCCAGCATGTCACAAGATGATGTCGGGTTACATGCCATGAGGTCATATGGATTCTGTAATGATGTATCTAAAGTATATTATCACCATCCCCGTCATTCTGATGTGGCATTGTGTGTCACATCAGACTCATATTTGTTACCTGCATTTTATTCTAATCTTTGGACATCTTATGATTTGTATAAAGTCTAGTCCAGCACCTCTGTCCTGTCTCATTAGCATTCAGTGTATAGTTTTTGAATACCTTGGAGTTGTATTAGACCAAAATGGAGGCATTAAGACTGAGCTGGCTACACGAAAAGCAGCTGCTGGGAGACTCTTCCAGGCCATAAACCGAGGGTTTCTTAGCAAAAGAGAAATTGGCAAGAGGACGAAAATGGCTGTTTACCGCTCTACCTATGTACCAGTCCTGACCTATGGGTGTGAGTCATGGGCAATGACAACAGCTCACAGAAGCCAGCTGCAGGCCTCGGAAATGAGATACCTGAGAAAGGTGGTCCAAGTGACAAGAAGGGACAAAGTCCGCAATCAGACAATACGTCAAGATCTTGATACCCAGCCCTTACTAACCCGAGTGGATCAGTCACAGTTACGATGGTTTGGACATGTGTGCAGAATGGGAGAAAATCGGCCACCATGGCAAGCATGGGAGGCTAAGAACCAGGGAACCAGACCTCCGGGACGACCCAGGGTGCGCTGGGAAGACAACATCCGACAGTCCCTGACTGACAGAGGACTGGAATGGAACAAAGCCAGAAAGAAAACTGCTGATAGAGACGTCTGGCGATCTCTCTGGCAAACCTCTACACCCCAAGGTAGAAGAGGAGCGACTAAGTAAGTAAGTAAGTAAGTATAGTTTTTGTTTGACGTACTTGCCTCCTCACTGCATTTGTTTCCCATTTCCTTGCCTGTTCTGCAATTCTTTGCCAGCTTCATATCAGAATGGACCCATTATATTTCCATCTTCCTTCTCTTTTAACAGTTGTAAACAGCAACTATTGAGACATTTCTCTGATTTCTTCACCTGTCTTGAACTCATCCCATTGAATATTCATCAGCTACCTTAAGTTAATTTGTCAACCATGAAAAATAGTTATGGTTGCATGTGTGCCTGATGAAAGAGAGAGAAATTTACTCAGACATAGCTAATGTGTGGTATTTTATTGTGACAAAATGATTCACAGTTCACCTATACATATATCAATGAGAAAAACATACAAGTTCATCTTTGCTACACAAAATAGTTGCATTTATCACTTTTTTTGTTTGTGTCTGGAAGAAAGAGAACAGTTTTTTTTTTTTTTTTTAATGAGGGCTCGTTAGGCCACAGAAAATAAATCTTTTCCTCACCTTGAGACTTAAAGGGTAAATGATGCCAGCTCCTTGTTTTTATAGACCATTTGACACTTGATAATTAGTGAGATCAGTATTCCACAGGCAGACTTTACTTCATTGAACAGTCAGGTCCACTAGAGGGCATTACCTGTGGACCAGCTGCCAACAAATATTAACACAGCAATAAGCACTATCCTACAGAACTAACCAGGAAGGCTAACCCAAAAAGCAGATGCCCAGTAAAGTCAGATATGTTGGCTCCCTGTGGGTTCCAGGGCCCTGTTATAGGGAAAACAAGAATGACCCAAAAGCATGTTGTAAGAGTCGACTAATTGGGAGCGTCCTTCACAGTCGGAGTGCATCTGCCTGAGAGGCAAGGAGCCAACAGTCTGCGTACAAATTAGTCAGATCAGTCAAACGGATGTACACGCAACACTCAAGTTCTGGAACAGACAGGACTGCTGTCCAGAAGTGGACGAACAACCAGAACTTGTCACCAGAGTTTACAGCTGGTGAATGCCAAGAAGAAAGAAGATGTGTTGGCCACAAGAGACAAATATTGCAGCTATGCTGTGGTAAGGCACAGCCCAATTACTTCACTCAGGCAATTGACTGAGAAGAAAACTACCTAGAAGATTTCCTTTTTAAGCTAGGTTGAACTGAGAGCATAGGGTTGTTGTTGTTTTGTTTTGTTTTTAAATTCATAAAGGTTGATGTAATCATATTATATTAATTATATATGTGATAATGGTTGCATGGATCTGCATAAAGTGAATGATAAGTAGCAGTCTGATGTATTTGCTGTGTTTGTTACTGGACCTTTGCTTCATTTAAAGACCATCCGAAACGTGTAAAAATAACAGCATGCCTGATACTGGAGTAGCATAATGACGGGTTAAGCCTCATTTACACTGGGTCATGTAAAAGAGTGAAGTATTAACCCTCATATAACACTGGGTCAGGTAAAAATGTGAAGGGTTGGGCATCATATAACACTAGGTCATGTCAAAGAGTGAAGGGTTAAGCCTCATATAACACAGGCTTGTGTAAAAGAGTGAAGGGTTAAGCCTCATATAACACCGGCTCGTGTAAAAGAGTGAAGGGTTAATCTTCATATAACACAGGCTCATGTAAAAGAGTAAAGGGCTAAGTAAGCTTCATATAGCACTGGGTCATGGTTTCCTAATTAAATCTGACCAGCTGACTTCCACCTCACTTTTTTTTTTCTAGACAGTTTCTAAACATACCTATGAAAAACTATTTTTGGTGTTAATTTAATGAGATGAACTATCTCTGTGTTGAGTGCTGTGTAAAAACATGGCTAGAAGTGAATTCTCCGTAGATGGGGTGGATACTTATCCTTGCCAGAGGTGATATGCTGCTAAAGGTGTTTTTAGTATTCTTCAGCAAGTTCATTGTCATTTGATTGTGATAATTGCTTTTATATCCATAGCTGTATGTTCTTCTGCTGTTGAATGTATGCTCTGTTATCTGCTTCTGTCCTTGTGCCA